AGAGAGAGAGAGAGAGAGAGTTTTTGGCTGCTACATAGTAAAATATTCAAATTGTCCTAATTGATGGTAGTTGTGCTTAGTAGCCTCATTGTAGTTTTTCTGTAAGTCCTTGTAAACGACGATTAATCATTCTTTACATATAGTTCTCAACTTTAAAGTCAAGTAAGGTCGTTTGTAATTTTCATGAAATTCGTAACCGCACCGAAATTTATTGTAAATCTTTTTCTTTATATTCTTAGTACCATACCTTTAATCCACGATCCTAATATTCCTTCACAATTTGTAAATTCAAAAGTCATCATATCAGTGAGTAATTATCTTTATATGTCGTAATTTTTCTTAATCAATTATAACATTTTTAATTGGTATTTTCCTTTAATTATTTATAAGTTATTATCTTTTCAAAAGTAATTGAGGGTTGAATTTTTTTTCTTTTTAATCCAATAATCCATCCTATTTAATTGGGATTGGTCATCTAAATTGTTGTAGTACATGAGCATTCCTTTGATAACTTCATGTGGCTCCATTTTGAATGTCTCAAAAATCACCAAGCAAAATGTTCCTCTTCATTTCTCTCACTCCATTAGTTCCTTCAAATGTGACTTGGAGTTGATTCCAAATTTTTATAACAGTCACACAAGAAAAAATACTCATAAATCTCATATAAGAAATGCACAATGTACGAAGTAGATAGCTTTAAGTGACAAATGCAAGTCTTCTCTAGATATCGTCACGAGCAACAACAGGTGGAGCTGGTGATTGTTCTTCTCTAGCTGCTTGAACATGAGGTCTTGTTGATATTTAAGTTGCTAGTCCATGTTCGGTCATATCAACCATTTGCTTATTTATCACAACCATTGCTTTTGTTGCACCTTTCATTCTATTTGAAGATGTACTGATTATCGCAGATGACTGAATTGACGAGCTAAAATTATGGTTGTCCTTCCTCTCTCTTGTAGTAAGTTCTTGTGGGGATGAGAAACAAACAAGATGGACTTAAAACTCCGAAATTAAACAATTTAATTCGTTCAGAAGAATCCACGTAAGCAACATTACTAGAAAGTAAGATTACTCCTTTGGACTGGAATAATCTTCTGTCCGAAGAACCTAATTAAAGTAATCACAAAAAACTTTCAAAGCCAAGAAGGAGAGTTCGTAAAATTTTGAAAGTATTAACGATCCTTTAGTAAAATACAAATCTGGAAGACTTTGATTCAAAATAAAGAAATCCTTAAAAGCAACGAAGTAATTCAAAAAATCTTAAGTTTAAAGAATGGATCATCAACAAACAGAAATTTGTAAAAATCGCCTCTTGTAAAGTTAGCCAAAACAAGATTCTTGTACTCTGAAGTATAACACTCCAAATAATAAGCAACGAGACTCTAATATCAATTACCTAAAGAGGAGGTAAATATGTTGCATGAGAACTATGAAAACCCTTTAAGGAATATAACAATTAAAACTTCAAACATCGGTAGAAACAAATCGTAGAAATCAGGTGGTCATGCTGCGCTTACACGTCTTCCACCTTTCTGACGTCGATAGCTACTCCCGTGCCAATAATCTGTTGCTCCTATATTGATCGTACTGATCTTTCTTCTGGTGGTGAGTAATGCAAGAAGATAGGACAAAAATATGATGTAAATAAAACGTGGTGACGTGGCATAGATTTGTAAGGCAACGTGACAAAATGATGGTGTAAGCATGCACTATGATGTCCACATACAACCCAAACTCAATGTTTTGGAAGTTGTGAGAAGTCGGTTTCTCAAATGAGTCCATTTTACGTGTTTGAGTCGACAGTCATGGTCCTTGGCCATCTGGTTGCATCCCCGCGAGGATGCACTACAGCTTTAGAACACGACCCCTTTAGTATAATGACCTAGAACAATATCCGGAGAAACATGTATAAAAAGCAAGAAATACACTCCAGATAGTTATGACAACTTAAGCACGATATAATCTATTTAACGGAAATTCAACATTACAATGACCTAGAAACTATGCATTTTTTTATTTCCCAGTTCGACATTTTGATGGCTACGCATGGGAAATCCAAACCTTTGGTATTTTTTAGTAAACTAATTAATACATGCACAATTTATCATGTAAAATTTGCGAACATAATCGTTTGTTCAAAGTCATCCATTATAAATCTTCAAGTAGAAAACATATAGAATAGCCAACTATAAGATTCAAAAAGTATAAGATCAACCATCCTAAAATAATCTGACAACGATAAAACGAGAAACAAAGCTTGAATTGGTGGCTGTTGCCGAGAATGTCATATTATAAGTTATAATTTATAACTGATTTTACTTTAGGGTACATAAAATTATATAAATGACATTAAGCTTTTTATTAAAGTAAGAGAAATTCGATAAACGAGTCATCGAGTTTAGATTTCAAGTTTACCCATCAAATGAATCTCGAAGCCGTCCAAAACTCTTGTAAAGTTAGAATTATTATAGATAAGGAAAATGACACAAACAGTTTCTGAATTTTGACTCAATGTGTAATTTGATCCTTGAACTTTTAATTTGTTCAATGTAGTCTCTAAACTTTAACCCAATATTCAATGTAGTCCCTGAACTTTTAGTACATGTTCAATATAGTCCATGAACTTTATAAAAATGTTCAATGAGTCCTTCCATTAATTCAAGTTCAGGGGCTATATTATATATTTTCATAGAGTTCATGGGCTAAATTAAACATGTACCAAAAGTTCAGGGACCACATTGAACAAATTAAAAGTTCAGGGACTAAATTGTACATTGAGCCAAAATTCAGGAACTGTTTGTGTCATTATCCCTTATAGATATGTACTCAATAACCTAAGAACTAAAAGGGGGCCATTCTGATAAGGGCCAAGCTTTTCAATCCATTTTTGGCTAAAACACTTCTTAATACAGTAATATGACTATATTGCTCTTTGTGGGTCATACTTTTTAGCATTCCTTGGCCACCATTATGAGGAAGTGTTCCTTTTTTTAATTGATTTTTTATTTCTTTTCTTGTGGATCCCACATTCCAATATCCTTAATCTTTTTCCTTCTCTCCGTTCTCTCAAGAGGCAAAGAAATGGAGAATCATAAAGGTTATATCCTTATGTTCGCATATCCTAGTGAGGGCCACAACAACTCACCACCGCGACGTCGACGAAGCCCTCTGTCTCTGCAGCTACCAATCCGACTCGCTCAACCTCATCAGTGTAATTCACGTTCTTTGTGACGCGAAATGGTTTGAGGAGGCCGATCATCGGTTCGTCTCCTTCATTTCGTCTATTTATGTCATCCCGGACGAACATGATAATTGCTAGATTGCTCGATTTTTGCAGCCAACATGGCATGTTGTGGGTCATTAGGTGTTTGGCTGATATCAAGCCCGGGTACTTGTGTTCCTTGACTAATTTTAACCACTTGATAGATCAATGGTGCCATATTTCAAGACTAGGTTATGGGCATAGGATATTTTTGGATATGAGGAGCAGGGGCATCGCTTGAGTTGCGTTTTTTACACTACTTTGATCAATAGGTAATGTAAGGTAGGCGAGGTGACTGCTTGATGAAATGGTAGAAGACAGTATAAGGCTTAATTCTTTGAAATATAGCACATTGATCGGTGGATTTTTTTGACAACTAGACAGGGAGAAGGTGAGGAAATTGATCTTTAGGCTCTAGGAGGTAATGAAATGCCAAGAGGACTTGCTTGTGAGGAACGCTGCTTTTGTGAATCTCATTTATTCTTTGTGCAGAGAAGGGTTTTTTGATGAAGTGTTTCAGATTGTGAAGAATATGCCTCAAGACTGCCGCCCTCAGCATCCCCATCACCCTTCCTAGCTCCTCCTCCTCATTGGCTCAAATGGCTCCACCTCGCTAGGCTCATCAAATGTAGACTCAACAACATTGTCATGCCTCGCCAGTATATGCCACTCTTGGCGAATACGATCCCCTTGTTGCCATAAGACATGTGGCGCAGAGCCTTCATTCAGGCGGCTCAAGAAGGTGCTATCGTGGGTCCTGAGAACGAGCTCAGCCTCCTCCTAGAGAAAAAGAAATTGAAAATTAATAAAAAAAAAAGTGGCACGACCATTAATAATGGAACACTTTCTTAGAACATTAGCATAAGAGGGATGCTAAAAAGTGGGACCTACAAATGGCAATATAGCCATTACTGTGTTGAAGAGTGTTTTAGCCAATGGATAATGACAAAAATGATCTTTGAACTTTGGCACAATGTGCAATGTGGTTCATGAATTTTTAATTGTTTAATATGGACCCTAAACTATAACCTAATGTGTAATATGATCCCTGAACTTTTAATTTGTTCAATGTGGTCCATGAATTTTTTTATACATGTTCAACTTAGTCCCTAAAATTTTTGGTACATGTTCAACTTAGTTCCTGAACTGCTGCATTTTCATATAGTTTTAGGGACTAAATTGAACATGTACAAAAAATCCAAGAACCACGTTAAACAAATTAAAAGTTTAAGGATCACATTACACATTGGGCTATAGTTTATGGATCACATTAAACAATTAAAAATTCAGGGACCAAATTGCACATTTGACCAAATTTTTGTGTCATTTTCCTTTTAGCCAAAAAGTTTGAAACCCCATCTTGCTATCCAAAATCTAATTACATATCGTTGTAATATAAAATTTGTTAGTTTCGTGGAAAATGAATACTTTATAAAAAATTTTCGTAAAAATGATTTCTTATATCACTTACAAAAATAAAATGAAAAAAAAATATTTTAGTCGTCAATGAAAATATTTATACATAAATTGTTGTGGATAATGAAAATATTTTTTATTAATTAATTATTTTAAGCAATATACGTAATTATTTTTAGAGAAAATATTTTCTAAATTATTCATTTTTCTTAAGATAAATAAACCTACGACTCTATGGACAATAAAATGTTTGGCTTCCAATTATAACAAGCTCTCTTGGGCTAATCGCGCCCCCAGTAGAGTTAAGTAATAAATTAGGCTCTACCTTTCTTTTCCAATTTTACCCGGCCAGTCAAGCTACGACTAAGACTGAGCCTTTACTCAAAAAGCCGTTACTCATGCCGCCATCAATGCAATCTGGGACTTCTGCTCAGACGACCAGACTCTCCTTTCTCCTCCTCCTCATCCGTCACACTACATTTCCCAACCCCTCCATCTCTCCCTCTCCCTCTCGATTCATCCCACGTTTTGCCTTCTTCCGGTAGAACCCTCCTTGCATCCATCCATGGAAACCACTCACTGTTGAAGCTGTCAATGTCTTGGAACACTCTCTGGCTGGCTCCGAGCGAAACCGAGCAGAGATGCTGGAGGTGAAGGGTCACTACGGTCACCAAGTCTGGTTCGTCGTCCTCATTTCTTCTCTACTGTGTTTCCTTGTGCTGTTTTCCTTTCATCATTCCTTCTTGGGCGGCGGCGGCGGCGGCGATGGGGCCGCTTTCTTCGTCGACAATTATGAGAATTCCATCAGCACCCGCAACCCCGAACCGCTTCCTTTCGCTGAGAGTCCCAACAAGACCGTCGATACAGCCCCCACTGACAAAGGGTCGCTCCTAAAAGCAAACGGTACAGCAAGAAATCATGAGGTCCCGAATGTTGGTCTTAGTCCACTAGGCGTCATCGTGGGGGACAAATCTGATGATGGTTCGGTTTCGCCCACTGACCAGAGCAGTGAGCATCAAAGTCTCGACATGGGTTTCGAGTCTTTTGACAGAGATTCATGCTCTGGTAGATTCATTTACATTCATGATCTTCCCAGCAGGTTCAATGATGACCTGCTTCGGAAGTGCGAGTCGCTGACTAGAGGGACGGATGTGAATATGTGTCCGTACATGGAGAACCTGGGCATGGGTCCGGCTGTGGCCGATTCCCGCGGGGTACTGTTGAACAATAGCTGGTTCAGGACGAACCAGTTCCTGCTGGAGGTTATTTTCCATAACAAGATGAAGCAGTATGAGTGCCTGACTAATGATTCATCGCTCGCTTCGGCGATCTATGTGCCGTATTATGCTGGGCTGGACATTAGCCAGTACCTCTGGAGTTCCAACATATCCGTGAGGGACGCCACGGCCTTCGATCTCGTCGGGTGGTTGTCCGGGAGACCGGAATGGAGGCGGCTGTCGGGTCGAGACCATTTCCTCGTGGCGGGTAGGATAGCGTGGGATTTCAGGAGACAGTTTGATGATCCGTCCTATTGGGGAAGTAAACTGATGTTCTTGCCACAATCTCAGAACATGACGATGTTGTCCGTGGAGTCTAGTGTTTGGAACAACGACTTCGCAATCCCGTACCCGACTTATTTCCATCCTTCGAAGGGCGCTGAAGTTGCGCAATGGCAAGATAGAATGAGAAAGCAGGAGAGAAAGTACCTGTTTGCTTTCGCAGGTGCTCCGCGACCTGAACTTGAGTTCACTATCCGGGGAGAGATCATTAACCAGTGTCTCGCGTCAAATGGTAAATGCAAGTTGCTTAACTGCAGTTCCAGCACAAATAATTGCGATGACCCCGTTAATGTGATGAAGGTGTTTCGAAGCTCGGTTTTCTGTTTACAACCGCGGGGAGACTCTTATACTAGGCGGTCGACATTTGACTCGATTTTGGCCGGGTGCATTCCTGTGTTTTTCCATTCTGGCACAGCTTACGTGCAATATGTATGGCATTTACCAAGAGATCATACTAAATATTCTGTGTTTATCCCATTGGATGAGGGGAAGAAGGTTAGCATTGAACCGGTACTCCAAAGCATTCCGGAGAGTGAAGTGTTGGCCATGAGAGAGGAGGTTATACAGCTGATTCCGAGGATTGTTTATGTAGATCCCAGGTCTAAAGAACACAACTTCAATGATGCATTCGATATAGCCATTAAGGGAGTTTTAGAGAGGATAGGAAAGGTAAGGAAAGCGATAGCGAGCGGGGGCGATCCCAGCATTGGTTTTGCTGAACAAAACCATAAAAAATTCGACTTCCCCAGGTCCGAGCCAGAAAAACAGGAAAGAAGGCGCCAAGTGAGGGAAATCCTATATGCAGCCGGAAGCAGAATTGGTCGATTTTTATAGGCCTTTCTCTCAAACTGCCTTTGAGGACTTGTGTTGCTGATCCTGTAAGTACGTCGATAATAAGTGTAGCTCTGCATTTGCCAAAAAGAGGGTATACAATACTTAGATCTTACATATGCGAACCACATAATTCAACAAGAGCAGATCCATTTTGAAGACGTACATTGCAAGTTGGCTCCTTTTCATTTTTATACTTTATCATTCTACTAAAATTATTATCGAACATTTTGATTAAGAGGCAAGACCTCAATACCTTTCCATGCGATCTTAGTAGAACAAATTGATCCAGTCTTTTTGCCAAAATCGAAATGAGATATCTTCATAGGTTTGGACCTATTAGATGAACTCAATCCTTGTCTTACAAATTTCATATGTTTTTCATTCCATTAGCAAAAAATTGCAGGTTCTTCCTCACAGTTTCTTTCATCTGATAGAATCAATCTTTTGTTTTCGTTTGCTTTTTGGACGAGTGATATTCCATTTGGATAGAAGAACAACCAAGAGAACTAATCCCGCTACGAGCTCTCAGATATGACGAATTTCAATCCTTGATTTCCACAGCTATTCCATCTATTTGCACTCGTAATTCTACAATACAAGTAGTTAGGACATAGCGGTCTAAGCTTTACCTCAAACACTATGCTGCTTCTACTATCATTCACGTCAGACTGTAGGCAACGATTCATGTATTGAGGTCCACCAATTATGAAAGCATCAAAGCATCCTAAGCAAGCTCTAGTACTGGACATTGCAGAGATTTTTCCCTTCGCATTTGACATAGCCCAAGAGGACTTCGATTTCAGTCAGAAGAAGAAATTTGCATCCTTCTGCGCGGCTCTCGAAACAGGGCAGGAGAAGAGAAGAATGATTTCGCCGTTCTGAAGCTAAAATCACAAATAAACAAAGTGGTTACACAGTGGGAGATCCATCTACTCGTGCGAGTCCGACTAAGTCATCGGTCCCGCAAAGATAGATTCACGAAAGAGCATTTCTGAAAGCTTGGACAAGAGATCATAGTAAATTTGTCTCTCTGAGCGTTGCAACTCATCTCCCGCAAGAGCCTTTTTAGCAGACACTCAGCAGTCAATATTATTTCTTGGAGAATTGTAGCCATGGCTCTTTTACCTTACCAATTTAAATATATTCTTCACAGTTTTCCTTAATCTCGTCATCACTGACCTTCTCTATCTTATCCCATTATCTTAGCTCTCCTACTCGCTAATAAAAACCCAGAATCCTTAAGCTGCCTGGTCAAGCCATGAATCAGAAAGATGGGTATCTTAAGGTCCTCACCAGATAAAGAGAACAAACTAAAAAATCCAGCAATTCACACTTAAGACCCAAATTGAAATACCGCTAATTACAGGTTCAATGCTTTTTGGTCAATGAGTTACAGCCAAACCGAACCAGCTCCAGGAAACAAAAGGACCACAATTTGGATATTCTTAGGTCGTCACCAGATCAATGAGTTAGCAGATAGTTTCTTCGAGCAAACACCAAGAACCATCCTCAGAATTAGATTCAAGTATCTGAGTCAGGATGTCAATCTCTCCAACGATATCCACAATTTGGGTTGCAGCAGACGAAGAACAGCGTCATACCTTCCTCCCCTCTAGCAGTGGCCTGAATAATGACAAAGATGAGATCATTAGCAAATACAGCCACAGAGACATGCATAAGCCATGACTACAGTACCCATCGGAAGGACCTAATAAAGAAAAAATCCTGAGTCCCCAACCCTCATACAAAAGCAATCACATCTCAATTTTCAAACATGAAAAGTGGACTAAAATGCGGAGATGATTGCCATTAAACTTCGTAGAGCTGCTTTCTGGGAAATAATTTTTGCATTGGCAACCCTCTTTTGGTGCCTCCTCGTGAATATATCAAAATCAGAAGTAAGCCTTTATTATTTGCATATCAAATAACAGATCCTGTTTTTCTGCTGTCAGGGATCACTCTTTTGTTCCTTATAGAGTGAAGGGCAGTTATCACTCCTAGTAGATTGTGATTTAGTCGATTACCGACTCAAAACATGTTTTTAAACTAAAAGAAGTCATATATCACAAAGCAACTATTCCTTGGATATGCACAGTAAGAAGGCACTTTTTCTGCAGTTAATCCATTTGATGTATGACTCATTCATCCACAAAATACATGAGACAGATTGATGCACGCATTGCCAAGTCAGGTTACTTGGTTTTTTTTAAAGAAACTGTAATTTAGAAAACCACATGAAGTTATCTATACATATATCTAAATAAAAATTATGCCGCTGGGTCAAATAGGATTTCATTCAAGGGACGTCGATAAATTAAGGAGAGAAATGACATCCAATATGCCATTGTTTCACTAAGTATCCAAAAGACAGATAGGCCACATCTTACAACTACTACAATTCCTTTCTTGTCAAGATCCATAATCAAAAGAAGCCACTATCTAGATCAGAGACTATACGATCAGTTTGCAGAGTCCAAGATTCAAGATATAAACCCTCAACCCTAAACCATAAACCCTAGACGCTAAATCAGTAGAATTTTATTTTAAAGTGCAGGATAAGCAATTCACCTGGAAGAAGACCGCTTCTCCATGGTTGCATTGAGCACAACGTACAGATTTTGTACGAGGTAAAGTTGGATCTGCTGCTACATCCTGCAACACTTGAGTGCGCTCCCCGACAGAGTGATGTATCTCATTTCTGTAGACACAGTAGTTATCGGCAACTTCCTGAATGGATGTTACAGACCTTATGAGACAAATAGAGAAGAACTACTTGATAACGGAGACCCAGTATATGAAATTCAATGAAATGACCTCTGATTTTTTGTTCTAAAAACTAGCAGTACCAATGTCATATATTCCTGCATGACCAATCTTTACAGATGGGAAAGCATCAGCTCCTTTAGCCATATTCCCATTAGAAACTATGCTCAGACAACCCCAAAAGGAAAAAAGCAATAACAATAACAACAAATAATGTTTATTTCACGAAAAGTTAGGGAACCTCTGACAACATCTGAAGTCTTATACACAAAGCCCAAATGGATGAGTGAGACATTACAATGAAAGAGGAACATCCACATTATTGGACCTTATAGTCAAAAGAGTAGCATATACTTTGACTAATAAAATGCATTAAGATTCATTTATCGGCATATATATGAACACAAGCTTTTGAGAGTCACGAAATGTGTATCCACTATCATTGGCAGCAATTCCCAGTACCAGCAAATCTATCATTCCCCCACCGTAACAGCGGCATAGTCTATTTGGACCAGAAAATGTGGAGGAAACGAATGACAAGGTTATATAGGTCAGATACAAATTATACTGAAACATTGTAAAATTTGAGACTTGGAGGCAGCACAGTTTCCCCCCTTTTCTCCAAGAACTAGTTAAGAAACCATAAGAAGACAACAGAAGTACCAACATGTTTAGCATACTAAACAAAAGTCAAATTTACATGACAAACTTAACTGAAACAACTCAACCTTGAGGCTATTATTGACCTCCTTGGGTCCATTACATGATTTAATTACTGTAGCTGTCACAACAAGCAAACTGCATATTTAGTCAACCCTAATTCATGCAGCCTCTTTAAACAGCCGTGTATGTCAGTGTATGGTACAATCATAGAGCAAATACAACATCTATATCCCAGCTTCAACTTTCGTCGGCCTGAGAGCATGCATGCATCTATACTTTCTTATTAATTTAATTTACTAAGATGACTGTAGTCAAAGAGTAATTACTGACAGAGATCAGAGGATACTAGGAATGGGAAGGGAGGAGACTCAAATTGGCGGTAAGTGATCGTCTTATACATATGTGTAGCAGAGAAGACCTCAGGCATCCAACAATTAATCGAAGGTCTTGCTCTTGCAATTGCTTTCTTATGCAATTGCATGATTACAGATTTGAACTGTACCAAACCAATAATATGGCAAAATTACTGATTAAGTTTGTTTGGTTCGAGTTTGAGTCAACAATTTTCAAACCAAAGTTACAAAATCAATAACTTTGGTTCGGATAAGTACGCCGAAGCAACCTCAACCTCTCCTCCTATACGTCTTGCTCTTAAGTGCCAATCTCCAAAGATTCAGCAGGAAAAGCAAGAAAAGGATTCTTGCGACTGAAAACAGGCAAGCAAACAAACAAACATCACCTATTCAAGCTTTAGAAAGGAAGCAGTCCTGTTCCCATAAACAATGAATTTCTGCTCGATGTTCGCCGGCAAAGTTTACATTTTCACATGTTCTACTGTGAATAAAGAGCCAAGAAAATACATGGCTACCTTGCAGTTCGAGCTCGAGTCCCTAAAGGGCTTGAAATAGTTGTTCGCTACCAGCATACAGGCATTTGCATCTAGTGGCAAATAATTAGTTACAGTTCCCATCATACTAGCAAAACCCATTAATGAAATGTTTTTTGTGCCTTGAAAAACAATCCAAGATTGAACCTTCAAACTAGCAATGCATAACATACTTCCAATTCGAAAAGCAAAAGAATGCAGCTAGCTCCAAGAACACTAAAATTCTCACGCCAATAAAAAAACCCAGCAAATTATACTCCCCCCATCATCATATCAGTCATACCCAAAATCGAATATAAGAAGAAAATGCTCGTCGACTATGAAGAAGGCCAAGAGAAACCCTAACACACAGCCGCATTCGAGGGGGGGGAGAAAGGGCGCTCGACCTGGTGCTCACAGTTGCGGCAAGCGAAGAGGAGGATCTTCTGCTCTCGATCCTCCTTGGGGTACAGTATGTTGTTGCTGCGACGAAAGAAAGAAGAACATCCAATCACGCTCATGCAACAACGCAAGGAGAAAACGCGAGAAGAGGGATCGCGGAAGAAACAAACGGACTGACCACTCGCAGCAGAATTTCATAGCACTCATCCTTGCCGAACGGATTAGGGCGCAGGGCCGATCGGCTACGAGCCTTGGCTTCGACGGGCGACGATGGTGCTTCGACGGCGGTATACGCGAGCGGATTGGCGCTCTGCGTTGGAGAAGAAGCTATCGAGGAGGAAGACGCTCGAGAGCTGCAGAAATTTGCGAAGGACCGGCGGACTGGAGAGAGCGCGAAGAAATTGAGGGGAGGGGAAAACACGCGAGGGTTTTAGAACTGTGGTATGGTAAGTGCGTTAAAACTTAAAAGTGACCAAAAGCACTGCTTAAAAAATTGATGCAAACGGTCTCTAAACTTTAGTCTAATAAATAATGCGATTTCTAAATTTTTAATTTATTCAATATGATTTCTAAACTTTGGCTCAAATGGGTAATATGATCCCTGAATTTTTAATTTGTTTAATGTGGTCCCTGAACTTTTGGTACACGTTCAAACTAGTCCTTGAATTATATGAAATTTGGGCCGAAGTTCAGGAACCACATTGAACAAAGTGAAAATTCAGGGATGACATTGCTCATTAGGCCAGAGTTTAGGGATCATTTATGTCATTATCCCTGCTTAATAGTAATTAGTTAAAAGAAAAGAAAAGTAAGTGCCCGAAAGTCTTAAAATTTATCGTGGAAATAGAATTGAATTCTAAGATTTTCAAAATGTGTAATTAAGTCCTAAAATTTATCAAATTAGTGTATTCAAGTGCCTCCCTTGATTTCGCCCAATTTAGTTAACATAAAATGCTGACGTAATTTTTCTTTTATCACTTTTTAATATATGTGGTGCACACCAAGCGCCGCATTAAAAAAATTAATAATTTAAAATAAAAATTGAAAAGAGGATAAATATTATAAAGAAAAAAAAGAGGATAAAAGAAAAAAAAAGGGTAAGAATTAAAAAAAATAAAAAAGCTGAAAATTGGGGAATGGGACTTAATTTAGTTGAGGAAAATCAATAATGATGGTAACCCAACCTATATGATTGACAATCTCATGAATTAGATTCATGTGGATAATAACAAGTCACTTGTTGATATAGTGATGCACTATTAAAAATTGTTGTCCCTCCTAAGGACAGTCTTTGCATTGTCTTTCACAACACTTATTATTGTCAAAATCACTTATTGCATGACCATTCGCCTTCTCAATTTCGGAAATTTTTTCCTGGATATCTAAAATTATATGACTTTCAACTCATTTGGTTTCAAGTACTAATTCTTTTCATTTGGGCAGATGATTACATACTAATTGGCAAAGATGAATACTATGGTACTTAAGATTGTCTACTAGATTGATTGATTAAATGTTATACATATTTAGTTATTATTTTGATTTTATTAACTTAAAAAGTTTGTTATTCGAGAAATATAGATAATGTTATACATATTTAGTTATTATTTTGATTTTATTAACTTAAAAAGTTTGTTATTCGAGAAATATAGATTTTATACCATAGGCATAAGAAATCCTATCCACTTTTAGTCCATCCCTAAATAGGATATTTTTATCCAGATTATATTTCTCTTATATCCAATCTTATCCTGTTAGACAGAAACCAAATACAAGATATAATAAATTATCATATCTTGACTTTTATTCTGTCTACCAAATATGGCTTAAGTGTATTACAAGAATGGAATTGTTGATCTCAAGTGTACATCTCCAAGACTGAGCATTCTTGCCTATATATTGGCTCTTTTCCACCGACCTTGTAGAAGAAATCTTCTCCAAGTAGTTCCACGTGGCTCTTCTTCTATTACTAACTCTAAATACTTCCTAAGTGATTTTTAGCCACTCATCATACCTACTACATGGAAGAGACACTACTAGATGCTTGTGAGATATTCTATAAAATGGATTAACAAATCAACACTCCTCCTTGATCCATTTTTGCGATTCTCCATCGCATCTCAAACTTCGCTTGTTGCAGTGCTTTCTTTATTACTCCTCACTGACTACTCTCTCTTTGTGCAGACCTTGTGAGGATACAGAGTAGCTTTCATCGGCTTCCTTATTTTCTTTCTCCTTTAACCGCAAGTACTCCTTCTTGGCTTCACCGGCTTCCGGTGCTAATTGCTATATAGCATGATAAGAAACTGACTTAACACTATCTTCTTTAACTTCTGTTGCCCCTATGGCTGCGACTTTCCACCATGAAGCTCGGATTTCAGCAAAGCCTCTTTTTCTTTGTCTCAGTCTCCATACTCATGTGGTTAAACCTCTCATTCGTGATCTTCATTTCGTGCTTCCGTTGATTTAATTCCATCTGCAACAATTTGATGCCAGCAGCTTGGTCCTTCTTCTCATTGGGCTTCTTCCTTGAACTTTTCCGTGGATCCTTGCACCTCAGGAAGTAAGGTGGAGATGGTCTCTTTTCCTTAGGGAAACCTATCCTTTTCTCTTTTAGGTGTTCCTCTTCTCTCCCCGTATGACCTATTGGCGACGAGGTGGGCTTGAATTCCATAAACTTTTGCATTTTCTTGAACTCACTCTGGAACTTGTCGAGCTGTCTTTCTTTTGCCTTGACCTCCTTGTCCTTCTGCCTCAGCATTTGGTCCCTCTTTTTCAACCTCTCTTTCGGCTTCAGCTTCGCAACTTAGCTTCTTCATCATCTCTTGCATCACTTATAGTTCCTTCTCACAATTGTTTGTTGGCGTCATTGCTTGCTTCTTCGAGTTCTCCCTAGATTTGTTCTTCTTTGGGGGCATGACAAGGGGTGTCGAATCATCTGACTCAATTATATAAGTTGTTGCGATCTTTTCTTGTTCCTCTATTACTGCAGACGCTTGAAATCTCATTCTTCTTCACTTTTAGTCTTCTTTTTTAAGGAAGTTACGATATTTCCTTCTTGCTTGAGCCAACCGACTCAAGCAAAGTGACATACCTTGCTGCAGATGTAGCACCGTCTGCTATGCCTTATATTGCTCTCATCTTCATTGTCATCCTCATCACAATCTCAGTGAGCTCCCCCTAGCTGAGTGCTCCTCTCTTCTGGTCGCTTCTGCTAGTCTCTATGACCTCTCCTCTGTTTCCCATCTCCAATGCTAGCCCCATTTCTCCTATGACTCTCGAACGCTCATTTATTACTGAAGAAGGCACTTTCATCATCCTATACTGAAACCTTAAACTTCTGTCTGTCTAAAACCTCTTGATCGACCAAAATATTTTCCAGCTAGGTTAGAGTTGGATTATTAGCCCATCCACCGATGGCCGTAACAACACCATCATACTTCGATCGTAACTCATAAATGATAATTCTTCTCATCTTAATGTCACAGATGGCAAACTGAGAATCTAATTTTGAAATTTCTTCACAGAAGAGTTTAACTTTGGAGAAATATTGACTCATCATCATATCCTGTTGCGAGATCAACAATAGCTAGTTCTTTAGCAGTTGTAACTTGGCATCGTTCGTCTTCACAAACAGCGTTGCCAATGCGTCCAATGTCTCCTTTGGGGTTTTTGCGCTCTTAATATGCTATAGCAATTCATCTTTTACTGTATTGGTAAGAAACTAGAGAGCCTTACCCGTTTTGATGTTCCATTTTCTTAACTCATCCTTGTCCGTGGGTGGTGTGGTGTTGCTGCCGCCAACGATTTCCTACAATTGAACCAATGGGCTATAGTGTATGCACATACTCCAACTATTGTAATTAAAGTTGTTGAGCTTCTCGACACCGCTTGCTAAACTTGAGATATCTACCATCTTGACCTGGTTATAATGCCCAACCCTATACCAATTAAGCTCGGTCCAAGACCAACTAATCATAGTCCCTGACTATGTACTGACAGAATTCCGGCGTATTCCCATTCCTGACTGCCTGCTCACGCACAGTGGTCCCTGACCACACTCCTGATATCTGGGTCATGGTCCTTGATTGCCTTGCTCTAATACCACTTGTTGGATTGTGGAAGTGTGATGTTCTAGTGTGTATGAGTGTGTGGGACAAGACTTTGGCAAGGGATCAAGCGTAGGAGCAACAGAGGCAAGGAAGGGAAATTGTATTTAATAGTTCAAGTGTATTACAAGAATGGGATTGTTGGTCTCAAGTGTACATCTCCAGACTGTGCACTCTTCTCGGCTCTTACATAGCGGTAGTAGTCTTTTCCAAGTGGTTCAACGTGGACTCTTCTTTTATTACAAACTCTTAACTACTTCCTGAGTATTTTTAGCCACTCATCATACCTACTGCATGCAAGAGATACTACTAGATTTTTGTGGTATATTCTAGAAAATGGATAAATCAACAGGAGATGTCAGTGTGTTAGATGAGTTTTGTATCTGGGGTGTGAATTTCTTTGAAGTACATACGTATTTTGGTCCAATGGGATAAAATGTTACAGGATTCCAATGAGACGGTGGGGTCAACGGCCCAAATTTCAAACGCCGACATTGGAAGACCTTTTCACACGCTCTTTCATGAGTTAAGCTATTGAGCACCAGCCTGAATGATGTGGAAACATGTGAATTCCGTGGGACTGAAAATGTCGTCGTTGGTATCCTTGGGGAACAAGTCCAGCCGTGCAAATTGTATCAATGAAGGTCGCTAACTCTGCTTCGGGACCGAATGAAGACGCCGACACGGTTTAAACTGCGTTGCCTTGTTGTGCACATTTATTGTGGAGGAGAAGAAGTTAGCTAAGGGCATGTGAAAATGAGAATTATGCTCACCAATTCGTAGTCAAATTTTCCATCTTCGGAATGCATTCGCTACTACCAGAAGGAAAGCACGCGTCGCTGCCGACTGATTGCCAAACTTTATCGTCTGTTGACTGCTATGAGCGTTTTAGCTAATACTTTATCTCTGAATCTTGTTCCTTTTTCTTATCAGACTGATCAAATCGGTGCATTTGCGCAAGGTTTCATAGTGATTAGTATCTGGGCTTAATCCGTAAATTCTTACGAAATTGAATAAAGCTAAATTAGTGGAGGATGTTTGATTATCTTGATCCCTTATTTTGATTGCCCGTAGTTACTTTGAACGAGAAAGAAAGCATATGCCATTGTCGGTAATGAGGGTGCTGTTAAAAGCCCTTAAACTCTCAATTGTGCTCTCGATGAGCTCGGTAAATCTGGTTCGAAACCTTCATATCTTCTGCATACAACAAACGGAAATCATCTGTCTGATCCGATATCTTTCATCACACTAGATTAAGTGTACCATAGTAAGATATTGATACACACAGTACAAAGTAAACTTCCATTAACCTCCACGACACTTCAACCGGCTGAATCTGACCATCCAACCAAAATTACCCAAGAAGGTAGAACTGGTTACTGGTAGGAACCAAAAAGACGAAATCCCCAAGACATATTGTTGCTGACGCCGTGTCGTCGTTGTCCAAGCTCCAACTCCAAGTGTCCACTCTAGTCTGCAGTCAGAGCGAGAGTACCGAGTTGCTCGGTTATCGGAGTCCGCGTCGCAGCTGTAACTTCCTGCTCCTCTTCCTGTTCCTGTTCCTGTTCCGGTTGCCCCGTACAGTGATGTCGCCTTCCGCACCGGCCATGCGCATGGCGCCTACCTTTGTGCACGTGACCGTGACCATGGCAATGACCATGATGACCATGTTTGTAAAGTCCATGCCCATGGACTAAAAGACCCCTCATATGATGCCCGTGTCCATGTACATGTCCATGGCCGTGACCCAAATGGGCTAAAAGACCCATCAGATGATGCCCATGTCCATGACCATGACCCCCATGTCCAACAACACCCCTCAGATGATGCCCATGTCCACGAAACCCATGCCCTCCGAGACCATGCCCAAAGAGAAGTCCTCCTACGTGGGGACCATGCCCGCCATGAAGCCCATGTCCGCCCCCGTTACCCATCCCATGACGAAGATGTGGACCATGATGATGCCTTCCCTCGTGAGCCATTCTCATCTTCATCCTCTGTTTAGTATAACCCCCGACACTGCTGTTCCAGTCTCGACAGAGAAATAGTTGTCTGGATGATGAGAGACGATGGCAAGAGAGGCCCTTATTTATAGGGGTTCATCAGGCGGTGGTTCGAGTATAGCACTCTATAGATTTTGGCCATCTTTTCACACGTAATCCGTGTGAACGCTTGATGAAAACAAGGAACGATGGAAAAAGTCGTCAAGCGTTTGTCTTGGGGAGCAAGTTCACGCCCGAATGAATTAATGGAGGTCGGTGGCTCCGCGTTGGGATGTGGGAACAGAGATGAGGGATGTCGACACGTTCTGATTTGCGGCTCCACGTTTTGGGCTTGGTGGGCACGTTAGATGAGCAGATACTTTTGCTCCTTTGGGCCACAAAATGAAAAACCGATTGAATTGGAGACCTTGTGAATCTGATTTCTTTTCGTGCTTATTTTATTGACCATATGTTTGATTTTATTAGGTGTATTCTTCAATGCAGTTAAAATAATTATCAACTGGTTAGAACTTAGAGCTACAAAGCCTTATATACTTCCCCGAAAATAATAACAATAATAATAAAGCAATACATTTGTTTCTTGAAAACATTTTAAATGGAAACTACACAAAGCTAATCATCTTACCGATTTACTAGCTAAGTATTGCCGATTAATCATGTGGTCGATTCTTTGAATGTGTTATTATTGCTTGCATGAGAAATAAAAGGATGTAAGGATGTCATTTTGTGATCATTGAAAAGGCAAGGTAATTGGATATCAATTCTTGAAATGAAAGTTGATTTCATTGTTGATGCAAGGGTGATATGAATGTCATCAAGTGCATGGTTGTTATGAGATTAAATATGGAAAGTATTATAAAAAGTAAGATCCGTCGCTCGCATATTAGTGGCGACAATGCTCTGAAGTTGGGATGCGTGTTTCGGGATGTCTAGGAGTGGAGATGCTCTGGGAGCCGAGATAAAATGAAATGCCAATAACGAATATGATGTTTGTGCATGTGGTTATATTCACACATGTCTATTAACGAACTAAGTAGTGGTAATCACGCATCACAATATATTATGCCATATGCTTGTATTTAAGTGAAGGAACTTATGCAATGTTGTTAATGGTTTCCATTAACATATCACGATATGTAGATAGGACATTTGTTCATGCATTTGTCATACATGGTTATTTTGTATTACTGAACTCACGTTATTGTTGGTACTAAGTTGAGTGGTAAGATGATCTTCTACCTTAAACTTAGAGATTTCATTTACTGGATTTTGGCTCACTAGATCATACTCCACTGCCAATAACGAATATGATGTTTGTGCATGTGCGTATATTCACACATGTCTATTAACGAACTAAGTAGTGGTAATCACGCATCACAATATATTATGCCATATGCTTGTATTTAAGTGAAGGAACTTATGCAATGTTGTTAATGGTTTCCATTAACATATCACGATATGTAGATAGGACATTTGTTCATGCATTTGTCATACATGGTTATTTTGTATTACTGAACTCACGTTGTTGTTGGTACTAAGTTGAGTGGTAAGATGATCTTCTACCTTAAACTTAGAGATTTCATTTACTGGATTTTGGCTCACTAGATCATACTCCACTGCTGCGGTTTGAAATTCCTATGTGTTTTAAGTGTGAAATACCCGAATCGGCGGTAGTATACACTAAGTGTAGTTCCATTGTATAGGTCGACAGGAGAGTTTGTTGGACCTTTAAGAGGGTTCGATGGTCTCTTTGAACATGTCGACAAAGGAGACGAGATGATGTCGGAGGCCATCAACCGTTGAGTTGGATGGCGGTTTGGTTAATGTATAAGCTCACTTTTGGGTTAGTATGGGTGTAGAGATGCTAGTTGACCTGACCCTTCCCAGCACTACGTATTTTATTGTGTTTTGCTTAATGTTGTATAAAGATGATAACTAGTAGTATTAATATAAAGAAGCGTATGTATATTAATTAAACTCGTGCGATTTTTTTGTATGAGATGTGAAAATTTTGTTGTACTTCCGCATGCTAATAATGATGGAGGATATAATTAGAAAGAAAACATGTCGTGCATGATGGTATGAGGCATCACCATTCGTGGATGGTTTGTAGCCTTCCACCAACTCGAGCTTAGAAGATGGGATGTCCAAAGTATCTCGAAGGCACTCATTGTAGCCGAATTCACCAAACCCAAATCTTCCAAGTCCAAAGGAATGGGTGGAGAATGAATTGCCACCACGACAAAGACGATGTAGGTGAAGTTACCTGTGGTCGAAAAGATCGACAGGAAAAAATATGGGGAGAAGGTCCTTCCAAACTACCCGAATTGAAAGGTGGAACTGACCCTACGGTGACTCTCACAAGAAAGGGGAGAAGAAGCCACCACCATCCCCATGTTTCATTTACGATGGTCCCCATTGGACCTGAGATTGCCCCAAGAGGGGCAAGCTCACGGCATTACTCGACATAGAAGAGGAAGAACCCAAGCAAGAGAAGAGGGAAGTGCGACTCGGAACCGTAAAGTTTCTCAACTCCGTGAAGACTCAAGCACTACCCAAGAAGCCTCCGAAGACAAGTTTGCCATTTGTGGAAGTCACGGTTAGAAACACAAAACTCTATGCCTTGGTGGACACGGGTGCGTTAAACATGTTTTTGTCAAGCAAAGCAGTAAAGAGTTTGGGACTTCGAGTGGAACTAACGGAACATCGGTTCAAGGCGGTCAACTCAGATGATGTACCGGCCATTGGCATTTCTCGGAATGTGGAACTACACATCGATGATTGGAAAGGAAAATTCCCTATCGAGGTAAATCCGCTTGATGAATATGATCTTATATTGGATTTGGAAGCCTTTGATAATGCGAATACCAACATTGACATGAGTACCAAGTCAATTATTATCACCGAGCCCAAACGCCCATTGGTGGTACCGATGATCTTTGGGTTGACAGAGACCAAGAGCATCTCCACGATCCAACTTGTGGATGAAAGACTGAGAGTTGAGGAATTCGTTGCTAAGTTGAGAGCGCCGAGGGCGTCGCTCAATTGGGTTGAGAGAATGTCATGGTCCTGAGATTTTCAAGACTCGATATATTGAGAAATGATCCTACGGAACGGAATAAGTCTTGAACTAGTTCTTGAAATTGTATATTTGTATTTAAGATATTTAATGAGGTAGATGGTAGTCTTATAATAGGGTAGACGGTAATAAATAGGGTAAAAAGTAGTTGAGAAGAGTAGATCTCCACATGTATAAATATGAGTGCTCTTCTACTCATTGGTAACGTCCAACACTTAAGCAATAGAAATATATTCTCTCACATAGCTTCTTTCTCTAAACTCTTTCTCTTTCTACAATTCGGGTAAGTTAGTGAGCGATCAATATATCCTTGGGAAAAAAAGGCTTAGCTTAGGCGAACCAACAAACCAAAAGAAACCTAAGTTGCAACATGATTCCTGATCTCAAGGATCGGCCCATGACACTAGCCTCTTCGTTGGTGAGTCTGCGCCTAGTTTGGTTTGGTAGAAGGACTATTTGATCTGATCTACTTCATCAGTCATAAACATTTGATCTGATCAACTTCGTAAGCCATAAATAGCGTACTACCGCATTCTCTGCCTTTATATATGATTGAGACATCCTCCAAACCTGCAATTTGTTGGGCCAGGCCTTCTTTTCCATGAAGAACCCACAAGTGAATGATGAACTTTGCCAGTGATCAGGAGAGGATAGATTGGTTCAGCCAAACTTTATTCTGATTACTATGAACTTTTTAGCTGAATTTCATCTGTGAATCTTGTTCCTTTTTCTAATCAAACTGATCAAGTTGGTATACTTGCGCTAGATTCTACAGCAATTAGTTTCTGAGCTTAAGCCGTGAATTCTAACAAAATAAAAATAAAAAGGCTTAATTAGTGGAAGATGTTTTATTTTCTCTATCGCCAATATGGATTGTCGCAGTTACTTGAATGAGAAAGCATATGCCATCGCCGGCGATGGGTGCTGTTAAAGCCCTTATCTCTTAATTGGATATGGTCAATTTGTCAATGCATTCCAATGTTGCTCTCGATGAGTACAGTAATATATCATTTCTGGTTCAAAATCTTCAGAAACATATGGAATAAGCTAATCCGATGCCTCAATCGACCGATATCATCACACTAATTTGTAGTGTACCATTGCATAATATTGGTACACAAAGTCGAACAGTACAAAGAGATTTCCATTAACCTCGACAACACTTCAACTGCCGAATCTGATCATCCAGCGAAATCACCCAAAAAGATAAAAAACTGGTACTGGTTACTGGTAGAAACCAAAACACGAAATCCCCAGGACATGTTATTGCTGACGCGGCGTCGTTAGTGTCCGAGCCCCAATTCCAAGCGTCCTCTCTAGTCGGCAGTCAGAGCGAAAGTAACGAGTTGCTCTGTTATCGGGTCGGCGTGGCAGCCGCGACTTCCTGTTCCTGTTCCGGTTTCCCCGTACAGGTATGACGCCTCTCACTCCGGCCATGCGCATGGCGCCTCCCTTTGTGAACATGACCGTGACCATGGCGATGACCGTGATGACCATGTTTGAATAGTCCATGCCCATGGACTAAAAGACCCCTCAGATGATGCCCATGACTCCCATGTCCTAAAACACCCCTTAGATGAAGCCCATGTCCTCCGAGACATGCCCAAAGGTAAGTCCTACGTGGGGACAATGCCCGCGATGATGCCCATGTCCGCCTCCGTTACCCATCCCATGATGAAGATGTGGAACAAGATGATGCCTTCCCTCGTGAGCCATTCTCATCTTCATCCTCTGTTTAGTATATCCCCCTTCTCTGTTTCAGTCTCGATACAGGAATAGCCGTCTGGATGATGAGAGATGAGGGCAAGAGAGACCCTTATTTATAGGGGGTTAAAGAGGCGGTGGTTCGACTGTAGCACTCTATCGACTTTGGCCATCTTTCCACACGTCTCTTAGCTACTAAGTATTCAAGCAATCCGTGTGAACGCTTTATGAAAACATGGAACGATGGAAAAAGTCGTCATGTGTTTGTCTTGGGGAGCAAGTTCACGTCTGAATGAATTAATGGAGGTCGGTGCCTTTGCGTTGGGATGTGCGAACAGAGGTGGGGATATAGACACGTTCTGATTTGAGGCTGGGTTTCGGGCTTGGCGTCCATGTTAGATGAGCAGATACATCAATTAAATGAAAAGGCAGTGATCCGTCGTCATTCAAGGAACAAGGAAGAAAATCCGATATATCAATTAAAATCACATGTTGATTGATAACTTTCGCAATATAATGACCTTTTCATTTATTATTTCTTGTTGTTATATTATTTCCTTATGAAGAGTAACATTTGTAATATCTTTATATAATAAAAATCATCTTAACAATTATACGCTGAGATCAATAATCATATATATTTGTTCTTTTATGGTATCGTAGCAGATATTTGAAAGAAATCGATATTTAACCATGGCTTCCACCAATCTTAAGTATCCATACCCCTCGTGTGTCATTGAAACTGACACAAACAAACTATTTTTGTTGGAAAGCCCATTTGCTTGCACTAATTGAAAGTCAAGATCTGGTAAGATTTATTGATGGTGAGTACCAGATGTCAAGTCCAACGATAGTCACCTCATTTGATTCCGGAAAAGAAGCTAGAGTCTCAGAGGAAGTGACAAATCCATAGTTTTTATAGTGGAGAAGATCATATCGCCTCATATAGGGATGGATCATTTGGCTCAGTTCTTGCTCATGGAGTAGACTCAAAGACATCTGGTGAGGTATGGTTAACTTTACCAAGGTATATGAGGAACGTGAAATTTCAATTTTTCTACAAATCCAAAAACGTCATATAGATAATTTTTCATCTCTTCACGAGTATCTTGGTTCATTTCAAAAATATTTTAATGAGTTATCAGCTATCAAGATGTCTTCTTGAGGACAAAAAGAAAGGTCTGGTTTTGAATGGCCTTAGGTATCAATATGATTCTTTCACAACATCCATGTTGAAGCCTCCAGCACCGATATTCTCTGACCTCATTTCGCAACTGGAAACCTTTGAGAGTCGGCTCACAAATAAAAGTTCGCATGTAGTTCAATACAGGACGGCTCTCTTTGGTCAAAGAAGTAATTTTAAACGCAAGAAGGGAAAATAATTCCAACATTCCAACAACAATTATTTTTCTTCGCATTGAAGAGGGTTTTCTCACAATGGTCCAAGAATGAAAAATTCTCGGGCTGATTTTATGCATTCGTAGGGTCACAAACCACTATTCAATTAAAGCAAGAACAAGAAGCTTGTGAAAGGAACAGACAAAGTTGTTTCCTATCAAATATGTAACAAGTAGGAACATATTATTTTAGAATGCTTTAAATGGTTTAATCAATCTTTCCTCCCATCAGATGTGCCAAAGGCATTTGCTGCACTTAGTGTTGGAGATAGTTGGAATTCAGAATGGTTCACTACTACTGGAGCTTCAAATCACATGGCCGGAGATGAAGGTAACTGTTTCAACTTACAACCATATACGATTGAATGCAAGGACATGTATTGATAGGTGATCCACGGAGGTATGGCCACACGAGCAAAGGCATCTAACTGAAACTTGGATGAGCTTTGACACAGGATCAACTCACTTTTCCTTGCTCATTGGCCTTATTTTTTTTCCTTGACCGCCCACAACCCTCTATTTTTCTTTGTTCTAAGCATATAGTTAGTCATAGCTCTATATGGCCTCATAAGAAGAATACTTTCACACGAGCTGCTTTAAACAACTAGCCTTCGACAAACGGCCTTCATATGGCTTTGTGCTTCCATTCCTAGTGGTGCAATAATTTATCACGTCGTAGTGAAATCAGTTTGTAAATGCTCTGTAGTTCTCCACTTCTTGAAATGGTTCTGAAGATCTAATTAGAGGAAATAACCAAAGAAAGTTCGACTTCAGGTGGCTGAGATTCCCACAAATCACTTATTCAAAGGACCGGATTGGAAACGATAATGAGTTCTCCACTTTCAAATTGTATGAGCTAGTTCAATCGATTTCAATCCTTAGAGGAAAAATGACATAAACGGTCTCTGAACTTTAGCCCAACGTGCAATGTCATCCCTGAACTTTTAATTTGTTCAATATGGTCCTTGAACTTTAGTCCAATGTGCAATGTTGTCCTTAAACTTTTAATTTGTTTAATGTGGTTCCCAAACTTTTGGTACATGTTCAATCTAATCCCTACACATACGAAAACGTTCAATATTGTCCTTGAACTTGAATTGATGAAATGACTACATTGAATATTTTCATATAGTCTAAGGACTAAATTGAGCATAATATTTAGGACCACATTGAACAAATTAAAACTTGAGGGACCATATTGCAAATTGGACTAAAGTTTAGGGACCACATTAAATAAATTAAAAGTTCAGGGAAGACATTGCACGTTAAACTAAAGTTCAGGGACCATTTGTATAATTATTTCATCCTTAGAAAAGTAAAGCCTACGCATTGTGATGAGGAGTCATGTTAACAAAAAGTAGCCTAGAATAAGTTCATCCAAGAAAGGATGAGAGACCTTGCCTGATAGTACGGTATATTTATACACAAATCTTACAATCCTATGAAATACATTTAGTAGTACACTACGATATGTTCTAGTCATTCGTGCTCCAAACGAAATTCTTTTGGTTTTCATAAAAAGATGTGATTATCTTTAAGTTCTTATTATAGGAGGAAAACATGGCCCCAATCCTCTTCTGATTGAAATTGTCATTAGTTTTTTAATAATCAAAATTAGCTTAATTAAATCAATTATAATGTCATGGTGTTGTTATGGAAAAAATTTATAAGTATAAATTTCTTCCTCAAGTGTTATCAAGAAACAAATGCGTTGCTTTTCTTTGGGGGAGGTTGATAGTTGTTTTAACTGCATTGAAGTGTATGCCTAATAAAATCAAACATGTAGTTTAATAAAATAAGGACAAAAAGGAACCAGATTCACAGAGCAAGTCTCCAATTCAATCGTTTTCTTTCTGTGGCTCAAAGCAGAAACATTATCTTCTCATCCTACGTGCGCACCAAGCCAGAAGCGTGGAGCCGCGCATCAGAACGCGTCGACATCCACAACTCCGTTCAATGTCCCAAAGGGAGGGCCACCGACCTCCATTAATTCATTCACGCATGAACTTGCTCCCCAAGGCAACACTCGACGACATTTGCCGTCGTTCGTTGCTTGACAAAGTTTTCATAAGCGTTCACACGGATTGCTTGATACTTAATGGCTAAGAGGCGTGTGAAAAGATGGCCAAATTTGATAAGAGTGCTACCGTTGAACCACCGTCTCATGAACCCCCTATAAATAGGGGGCCTCTCTTCCTCTAATCATCATCCAGACAGCTGCTCCTGTGTCAAGACTGAAACAGAGTCGGGGGATATACTAAACAGAGGATGAAGATGAGAATGGCTGCTCACGAGGGAAGGCATCATCATGGTCCACGTCCTCATCATGGGATGGGTAACGGAGGTGGACATGGGCACCATGGCGGGCATGGTCCCCATGTAGGAGGGCTTATCTTTGGGCATGGTCTCAGAGGACATGGGGCTCATGGTCATGGACATGGACGTGGGCATCACCTGAGGGGTCTGTTAGGAGATGGGCATGGTCTCATAGGACATGGGGGTCATGGTCATGGACATGCGCATCAAGTGAGGGGTCGTTTAGGCCATGGGCACGGACTTTTCAAAGATGGTCATCATGGTCATCGCCATGGTCACGGCCACGGTGACAAAGGGAGGCGCCATGCGCATGGCCGGTGGGGGAGGCGTCATCACTATATGGGGCAACCGGAACAAGAACAGGAACAGGAACAGGAAGAGGTGGCTGCGATGCCCACTTCGATTACTGAGCAGCTCGGTACTCTCGCTCCCACAGCCGACTAGAGAGGACGCTTGGAGCTGGGGCTTGGACGATAAGGACGCCGTGTCAGCAATAATGTGTCTTGGGGATTTCGCGCTTTGGTTCCTCCCAGTAACCATTGCCGGTTTTATCATTTAGGGTGTAATTTCGTTGGATGATCAGATTCAGCGGTCGAAGTGTTGTGGAGGTTAATGGAAGTTTCTTTTTACTGTTTGTGTACCAACATGATACCACGGTACACTAAATATTACGTGATGATATCGGTCATCTGAGGTGCGGAACAGATGATTCGATATGTTTTATGCAGAAGATTTGAAGGTTCTGAATTAGAAATGATATGGTCTGAGCTCATCGAGATCACCATTGGCATGCATTCATGAACAAATTGACAAGATCGAATTTAGAGATCAAGGGCTCTAAGAGCACCCGTGGCCGACAATTGCATACGCTTCCAATCTTTGTCCTTCAAGTAACTCCGGCTATCCAAATTGGCAATCCAGAAATAAAAAATCTTCCACTTTTAAGCTTTTCTGGATTTTATAAGAATTTAAGGTTTAAGCCCAGAAACTTATTATTACAAAATCTTTTGCAATGTATCATTTTGATCAGTACAATAAGAACAAGGAACAAGATACATAGATGAAGTAACAGCTAAAAACTTTAGTAGTAGTCAGACAGTAAAGTGTGGCTTGACCCTGAGTCCTCTCCTGGTTGGGTTGGAGGCGAAGACCGGTGAAGATCATCATTCACCAGTGGTGTCTTTACAGAAAGGGCGGCCTCGCCAATGAATGGCGATCAGATCAGATAGCCCCTCAGGCAATCAACCTTATCATGTAGACCTACCAATGAAGAGCTGAATTACGAAGCTTACCCATCAAAGGGCAATGGGGTTTATGCATTTCATATTTTTTCAGTGTCTCGGTAGAAATAAGAGTTCCTGAGCAATGGATATCATGGGACTATGTTTATAAGTGGGGCGATAGCCATACTAAAATAGACTGGTGTTTCGCTCGAATTGAATTCAATGACAAAATATCTTTTATTGAAAGTCGTTCTTCGATTTTATTAGAGAAGGCGGGTTTAATGGCGATTTCGGATAGGAAAAATCACAAATAGATAAGAGAATCGATAGCTTCACTTCAAACGAAAATAATGTACACAAGTTGTGTCGGAATTTAATCGACGACAGAGCTTAAGAGCGCGAATATGCAACTCCAGAATTTATAAATTGGGAATGATAGCGTCATGGTTGAAAATGGTGATTTGCTTAAAATTTTCCATAAAGGTGATGCTCAGATCAATTTGGGCTAAAAGAGTATTGACTTAAAAAATCTTCTACTTGTTTGTTAGATGAAAAAGAATTTATTATCGGTAAGCCAATTTATGACTGACTATCCTCTAAATTTTGAGTTCTCTGTCGCTGGTTTTGTGATAAAGGATAGGAAAACAGGAAAAATTCTAACAGTTGGAAACCATGAAGGTGATCTATATACCTTGAAGGTGCCAAAAGAAGCATTATTTTCAAATCAGTTTAGAAAAGCTGATGAAAGTACTTGGCGTCAAAGGTTGGGACATCCACAACCAACGACAATCCGTCATTTGCAAAATAAAGGCGATATTAGTGTTACTACTTGGAATAAACCTACATAATATGTAATAGTTGTCAAATGGGTCCGGCATCTAAACTTCCTTTTATGAAGATATGGAACCCAAAGCTCCGGAGATGTGAAGGCATGACTAAAACTGTTGAAAAACTGCTTATAGGCAATTATGTTGTAAAAACTATAAATACTAGTGTTCTTGTACGGTAAAAACTCCAATATGTAGGCAAAATGTTTCTTAATTTACTCATTATATCGATTGCTCAAGACCTTCGATCTCTATCGAGACCCGATAAAAAAATGAAATGCATAAACTTCGTAGTTCAGCTCTTCGTTAGTAGGTCTGCCCTGATTTGGTTGGTTGCTTGACAGCTATCTGATTGGATCAAATGAAAATCTGCCATTCATCGGCGAGGCCTTCTTTTCTGTGAAAATACTAAAGGTAAATGATGAACTTTTGCCGGGCTTCTCCTCCAACCCGATCAGGAGAGGAGGTAAGGTGAAGCCACACTTTACAGTGTGGCTACTATGAACTTTTTAGCTGATACTTTATCTGTGAATCTTGTTCCTTTTCTTACGGACTGATCAAATTGGTACATTTGCAAAAGATTTCATAACAATAAGTTTCTGGGCTTAATCAGTAGAAGTTTTTTGATTTCTTGATCGCCAATTTGGATTAGCCGTAGTTACTTGAATGACAAAGATGGAAAGCAAATGCCATTGTCTGCGATGGGTGCTGTTAAAGCCCTTAATCGCTCAACTGGATCTGGTCAATTTGTTCATGTGTGCCAATAGTGCTCTCATGAGCTCGGTAACACATCATTAGAGTTTAGAACCTTCAAATCTTCTGCATAAAACATGTGGAATCGTTTAATCCGACGCCTCAAACGACCCATATCATCACACTAATTTGTAGTGTACCATTGCATAATATTGGCACACGAACAGTACAATGAAACTTCCATTAACCTCCACAATACTTCAACCGCTGAATCTGATCATCCAGCCGAATTAACCCAAAAAGATAAAACGGGTACTGGTTACTGGTAGGAACCAAAACAGGAAATCCCCAAAAACACATTATTGCTGACACGCGGCGTCCTTATTGTCCAAGCCCCAACTCCGAGCGTCCTCTCTAGTCTGCAGTCAGAGCGAGAGTACCGAGTTGCTCGGTTATTGGAGTCGGCGTCGCAGCCGCGACTTCCTGCTCCTCTTCCTGTTCCTTTTCTGGTTCCGACTGCCCCTTGGAGGTATGACGCCTCCCGCACCGGCCATGCGCATGGCGCCTCCCTTTGTGACCATGACCGTGACCATGGCAATGACCATGATGACCATGTTTGAAAAATCCATGCCCATGGACTAAAAGACCCCTCATATGATGCCCGTGTCCATGTCCGCGTCCGTGTCCATGTCCATGTCCATGACCCGAAATCAGATGATGCCCATGTCCATGACCATGAACCCCATGTCCAACAACACCCCTCAGATGATGCCCATGTCCACGAAACCCATGCCCTCCGAGACCATGCCCAAAGAGAGGTCCTCCTACGTGGGGACCATGCCCGCCATGAAGCCCATGTCCGCCTCCGTTACCCATCTCATGACAAAGATGTGGATCATGATGATGCCTTCCCTCGTGAGCCATTCTCATCTTCATCCTCTGTTTAGTATATCCCCCCAACACTGCTGTTTCAGTCTTGATACAGGAATAGCCGTCTGGATGATGGGGGATGTGAGGAAGAGAGGCCCTTATTTATAGAGGTTCACGAGGCGGTGGTTCAGCTGTAGCACCCTATCAAATATGGCGATCTTTTCACACGCCTCTTCTCTGCCAAATTTCTTAGCTTAGCTATTAAGTACTTAAGCAATCCGTGTGAACGACGCAATCCGTGTGATCGCTACGGAAACTTGGCAACCACGAACGAACGGAAAATGTCGTCGAGTGTTGTCTTGGGGAGCAAGTTCAGGCGTGAATGACTAAATGGAGGTCGGTTTCTCTGCGTAGGGATATGGGACCAGAGATGGGAATGCGGGATGTCGACACCTTCTGATTTGCGGCTGGACGTTTCGGGCTTGGAGTGCACGTTAGATGAGCGGATAATTTTGCTTCTTTGGGCCACAAAAAGAAAGCGATTGAATTGGAGACCTGCTCCGTGAATCTGATTTGTTTTTGTGCTTATTTTATTAACATTATGTAGATCATAGAGCTACAAAGTGTCATATCCTTCCCCATGTGGATGGGGATGTCTCTATTCGATGCTTTAGCACCTTACGATGTCATTGGAGTAACTTTCACGATCTCATCTCCTTCAAATGCTAAAAATACAATTAATAGTACAAGTTTTACTACTAATTATCTTTCATAGTTTTGTAAGATATGTGTATATACTGCCATACTGTCGGGCAGGGTCTCTCATCTTTTTTGGGATCCTTTCTTGGATGAGCTCGTTTTTGGCTACTTTGATAATTGTGAACAAAGCTCCTTATTATGATGCGTAGACTTTGCTTTTCTAAGGATTGAAATCATATCAAACTAGTTTCGTGCAATTTGAAAGCGAAGAACTCCTTATCCTTTCCAATCCGATCCTTCGAAAATGTGATTTGTGGGAATCCCAACCAACCTAACCCAATTCCTTGATTTGGTGGCTCTCTAGCCATTTTATTAATTAAAAGGGTTAATACCACGAAAAACCCCAAACTGGTACATCTGTGACGAATTTACCCCAAATTAATTTTTTGACCACCAAAAATCTCAAACTGGTATATTTGTAACAAATTTACCCTCCGTTAGTTTCCATTAAATTGTATTAGTATCACGAAAAATCACAAATTAGTATACTAGTGACAAACAGAGGGTAAAAAAACCCAAACTGGTATATCTGTAAACTGTCATGGGTCATCCAACTCAACAATTAGACAATAAAATTTAACGAAAACAATTGGAGGTAAATTTGTCACAGGTATATTAATTTGGGATTTTTCGTGGTCAAAAAATTAGTTTCGGGTGAATTTATTATAAGTGTACCAGTTTGGAATTTTTCATGTTATTAATCCTTAATTAAATCTCTCTATCAAAGGCATGGCACGCCAAATACGATTGAATAAAGTGACAAACATAGACAGGTGATATGTGGCGGAGAAAGAGGTGTGGTTGCACAAGCAAAGGCATTTAAGTAAACTTGGGTGGACCTTTGACAAGGTGATCAACTCGCTTTTCCTTGCGCACTGGCCTTGGCCTTATCTTTGCTTCCTTAATCACCCACAACCCTTTTTTTTATAATTTTCTTCTAAGCATATAGTTAGTCGTAGCTCTATACCGCTTCATAAAAAGAATACTTTCACACAAGCTGTTTTGTTTTTTTTTTTAAATGAGCTGCTTTAAACGACTTGCTGCTAGACCAACTGCATTTATATGGCTTTGGGCTTCTATGTGGTGAAATAATTCATCACTCTTAGTGGAGTCAATTTGCAAATGCTCTATAGTGCTCCACTTCTTGAAATGGTTTTGATGATCTAATCAGGGGAAATAACCAAAGACAGTTCGAATTTGGGTGGTGAGTTTGTAGGCAGAACATTTCTTACTTTGCTTGAAGGGCTATCTGATCCGATCAAATCAAAATCTGTCATTCATTGGCAAGGCCTTCTTTTCTGTGGAGACACCACCGGTGAATGATGAACTTTGACCGTCCTCGCCTCCGAACCGATCAGGAGAGGACTCAGGGTCAAGCCAAAATTTATTGTGCAACTACAACAAACGTATTTGCTGATACTTCATCTGCAAATCTTGTTTCCTTTTCTTACAAACTGATCAAATTGGTATATATGCAAAAAATTCCATATTAATAAGCTTCTGGTCTTAATCAGTAGAAGATGCTTGATTTCTTGATCGCCAATTTGGATTGCCGTAGTTACTTGAATGACAAAGATGGAAAGCATATGCAATTGTCGACGATGGTTGCTGTGAAAGCCCTCATCTCTCAATTAAATCTGGTCAATCTGTTCATGCATGCTAATGGTGCTCTCGATGAGCTCAGTATCATATCGTTTCTAAACCTTCAAATCTTCTGCACAAGACATATGGAATCATTTGCTCCGACGCCTCAAAAGGTCGATATCATCTCACTAATTTGTAGTGTACCATTGCATAATATTGGTACACGAACGGTACAAAGAAACTTCCACTAACCCCCACAACACTTCAACCGCTGAATCTGATCATCCAGCCAAATAAACCCAAAAGGATAAAACTGGTACTGTTTATTGGGAAGGAACCAAAAACACGAAATCCCCAGGACACATTGTTGCTGACACGGCGTCGTTATTGTCCAAGCCCCAACTCCAAGCGTCCTCTCTAGTCTGCAGTCAGAGCGAGAGTACCGAGTTGCTCGGTTATCGGAGCGGGCGTCGCAGCCGCGACTTCCTGTTCCTCTTCTTGTTCCTGTTGCTGTTCCTGTTCCGGTACCAGTTGACCCGCACAGGTATGACGCTTCCCGCACCGGCCATGCGCATGGCGCCTCCCTTTGTGACCATGACTGTGACCATGGCAATGACCATGATGACCATGTTTGAAAAATCCATGCCCATGGACTAAAAGACCCCTCATATGATGCCCGTGTCCGTGTCCGTGTCCATGACCCGAATGGACTAAAAGACCCATCAGATGATGCCCATGTCCATGACCATGACCATGACCCCCATGTCCAACAACACCCCTCAGATGATGCCCATGTCCACGAAACCCATGCCCTCCGAGACCATGCCCAAGGAGAGGTCCTCCTGCGCGGGGACCATGCCCGCCTCCATTACCCATCTCATGACGAAGATGTGGACCATGATGATGCCTTCCCTCGTGAGCCATTCTCATCTTCATCCTCTGTTTAGTATATCCCTCGACTCTGTTTCAGTCTTGACACAGGATTAGCTCTCTGGATGATGAGAACTGAGAGGAAGAGAGGCCCTTATTTATAGAGGCTCACGAGGCGGTGGTTCAACTGTAGCACTCTATCAAATTTGGCGATCTTTTCACACGCCTTTTCTCTGCCGTATTTCTTAGCTTAGCTATTAATTATTGAAGCAATCCGTGTGAACTCTGTGGAAACTTGTCTAACTACGAACGAAGGAAAATGTCGTCAAGTGTTGTCTTGGGGAGCACGTTCAGGCGTGAATGAATGAATGGAGGTCGGTTTCTCTGCGCAGGGATATGGGACCAGAGATGGGGATGGGGCATGTCGACACCTTCTGATTTGCGGCTGGACGTTTCGGGCTTGGAGTGCACGTTAGATGAGCAAATAATTTTGCTCGTTTGGGCCACTAAAAGAAAGCGATTGAATGGGAGACCTGCTCTGTGAATCTGATTTGTTTTTGTGCTTTTTTTATTAACATTATGTAGAACTTAGAGCTACTGAGTGTCATATCCTTCCCATGGGGATGGGGATAGGGATGTCTCTATTCGATGCGTTAACACATTTCGATGTCATTGGAGTAAGTTGCACAATTTCATCACCTTCAAATGCTAAAACTACAATTACTGGTACAAGATTCTACTACTAATTGTATTTCATAGGATTGTAAGATTTGTGTATAAACATGCCATATTGTCGGGCAGGGTCTCTCATATTTTATGGGATCCTTTCTTGGATGAACTCATTTTAGGCAACTTTGATAGTTGTGAACATGAATCCTATCGTGATGCGTAGACTTTGCTTTTTTAAGGATTGAAATCATATCAAACTGGCTTCGTGCAATTTGAAAGCAGAGAAGTCCTTATCCTTTCCAATCCGGTCCTTTGAAAACCTGATTTGTGGGAATCTCAACCAACCTTAACCCAATTCCTTGATTTGGTGGCTCTCTTGCCATTTCAGTTAATTGAATCGACTATTAAAGGCATGGCACGACAGATATGACTGAATAAAATGACAAACACAGACAAATGATTTGTGGCGAAGAGAGAGGTATGGCTGCACGAGCAAAGGCATTTAAGAAAACTCAGGTGGAGCTTTGACACGGTGATCAACTCGCTTTTCCTTCCGCACTGGCTTTGGCCTTATCTTTGCTTCCTTAAACACCCACAACCCTCTTTTTATTTTCTTCTAAGCATATAATTAGTCATAGTGCTGCTATATGGTCATAAGAAGAATACTTTTACACGAGCTGCATTGTTTTTTTTTACGAATTGCTGTTAGATGAACTGCCTTTACATGGCTTTGGGCTTTCATGTGGTGCAATAATTCATCACTCGTAGCGGAGTCAATTTGCAAATGCATTATAGTTCTCCACTTCTTGAAATGGTTTTGATGATCTAATCTGGGGAAGTAACCAAAGGAAGTTAGAATTTGGGTGGTGAGTTTGTAGGCGAAACGTTTCTTACTTTACTCGTGATATAGATCTCTCAAAACCTTTGATCTCTATCGAGACCCAATGAAAAAACATGAAATGCACAAACCCACCCGTTGCCCCTTTGATGAATGAACTTTGTAATTCAGCTCTTCATTGGCAGGTTTGCCCTGGTTTGGTAGATTGCTTGACGGGCCATCTGATCCGATCAAATCAAAATCTGCCAGTCATTGGCAAGGCCTTCTTTACTGGGAAGACACCACCGATGAATGATGAACTTTGCCGGTCCTCACGTCCAAACCGATCCGGAGAGGACTAAGGGTCAAGCCACACTTTATTGTGCGACTTCAATGAACATATTTGCTGATACTTAGTCTGCGAATCTTGTTCCCTTTTCTTACAGACAGATCAAATTGGTACATTTGCAAAAGATTCCATAATAATAAGTTTTTGGTTTTAATCAGTATAAGATGTTTGATTTCTTGATCGTCAATTTGGGTTGCCGTAGTTACTTGAGCGACAAAGATGGAAAGCATATGCCATTGCTGGCGATGGTTGCTGTGAAAGCCCTCATCTCTCATTTAAATCTGGTCAATCTGTTTATGCATGCCAATGGTGCTCTCGGTGAGCTCAAAAACATATCATTTCTAATTCGGAACCTTCAAATCTTCTGCATGAAACATATCAAATCATTTGATCAAACACCTCAAACGACCGATATTATTACACTAATTTGTAGTATACCATTTAATAATATTGGTACACAAACAGTACGAAGAAACTTCCATTAACCTCCACGACACTTCAACCACTGAATCTGATCATCCTGAAGAGAAAAATGGAAGGGAAAGCCTTTTTCATATATGTATTCTGTACAATTACATTGATGTATTTATAGTCTAAGAATGTAAGTAAATAGAGAAGTAATATACAGAGAATTATGAATTTCCTATTCACTGTATCAATCACGGATTTATCTAATCAATCAGTCCTTAATTAGAATCGGCACCACAATCAGGATCTTCAAATATATCTTCCAATAATAACTCTAATACTCCCCCTCAAGTTGGTGAGTGCATGAACATCAACAACTTGTGCTTGAAAGAAAGAAAAAGAGCACGAGAAACGGCTTTTGTGAATAAATCCGCGAGCTGTGAATGGCTAGGAATATGAAGAGATCGAAGTATGCCATCCTAAAGTTTTTCACGAATGAGATGGCAATCAATCTCAATGTGTTTGGTACGCTCATGGAAAACTGAATTAGTAGCAATATGGATAGCCGCTTGGTTGTCACAAAAAAGGTCGGTAGTGGACAACGGGACGGCAAGATCGGTGAGAAGCATGCGAAGCCATGTAATCTCACAAGCTACAAATGCCATGGCTCTGTATTCAACCTCAGCTGAAGACCGACCAACAGTGTGTTATTTCTTAGAACACCAAGAAACAGGGCAAGAGCCAAGGAGCATACAGTAACCAGAAACTGAACGACGTGTGGATGAACATGCAGCCCAATCAGAATCTGTATATCCTTGTAATGCAGGGGATGAGTCAGACGGAAAAAATATTCCAGAACCCGGATCAGATTTCAAATACCGGACTATCCGAAGTGTGGCTTTCCAATGATCATCATGTGGAGCATGCATAAACTGGCCTAGATGCTGAAAAGAAAACAGAATATCCGGGCGAGTAGCAGTGAGGTACAAAAGATGTCCAATCAAGTGACAATAAGGGTAATATTGTAATTTTGACATTTTTGGCTTTATTATAAATAGATAGCTTGGGGTCACATAGACCAAACCAAGCATTCAGTTCAGTTTTTCCTCTCAACATGGTATCAGAGCTTTCCAAGATCCTTTATTTCAAATTCTTGTCCAAGAAAATTCTTCAACCAGCTTATCTCATCAATATCATTTCCTGTGACAATAATGTCATCTACATAGAGAATAAGAATAGTGACTTTAGCACCTGATCTCTTCACAAACAAAATATGATCAGCATTACTTTGTTTATACCCAACAAAGATCATAGCTTTATGAAACCTACCAAACCAAGCTCGAGATGATTGTTTTAAACCATAAAGTGCACGTTTCAGCTTACACACTTTACCTTGAGTTTTGTCACAAGAAAAACCTGGAGGAATCTCCATATATATCTCATCTTCTAACTCTCCATGAAGAAAGACATTATTCACATCTAACTGCTGAAGATCTCATCCCTGGTTTACAGCACACGAAAGTAACACTTGAACAGTATTCAACTTGGCAACAGGAGCAAAGGTTTCTTGATAGTCAATCCCATAAGTCTGAGTAAATCCCTTCGCCACCAACCGTGCTTTATATCTGTCCACAGTACCATCCATCTTCTGTTTGACTACAAACACCCACTTACATCCTACCGGTTGTTTCCCAGGAGGAAGACCAACAAAATCCCACGTGTCATTTTTCTTCAAAGCATGCATTTCCTCCACCATTGCTGTCTTCCACTTCTCATCTGCAAAAGCTTCATGCCAATTCCATGGAATAGAAACAGAAGATAGAGAAGATGCAAAAGTACAATAAGAGCTGGACAAAGAGTCATATGAAACAACATTGGATATAGGATGTTGAGTACAAGTTCTAATACCCTTTCAGAGTGCGATAGGAAAATCAGAAAGAGAAACTTCATCAGAAGAAGTAGTAGAATTCGGATCCGGAGATGATGACTAAATAGGCAATGTATCAGTGGTCTTAACCTGCGTGTTGGTAGTGGAATTCCTACGACGATATGTCTTCAATGTTTCCCCACTATCAATTCGCCTTTGAAAGATCCCAATACTTTGCTTAACAGGTGTGGTCTCCCCCTGAACCTCTAATATCTCCCCCTGAAGTATTGCATTATTCTCTACTTGCGTTGCATCGTTCTCCTCTTGAGAAGGAGAAGGAGAAGGAGAACGATCAGAGACTATTGGAGGAGGAAGAGGAGGAGGAGGAGGAGAAGGAGAATAGTAAGTAATATCTTCAGGAATATCTAGAATTGGCAACACCTCTACACTAGGACACTCCCCCTGAAGAGGTAGAGCGGAATAATAAGAAGTAGACTAATGGAAAATCACATTCATAGATATAATACTATGCCCAGAAGGAGGATGATAACACTTACAACCCTTTTGAGTAGCTGAATACCCAAGAAATATGCAGCGGAGACCGCGGGTTCCAACTTACTCTTAGAGGTAGTGTTACGAGCATAACAAACACAACAAAAATTTTTTGGAGGAAGAATAAAAGTTGATGATCCCTGTAAAACATCAATAGGTGTGCAAAAGTCAAGAATTCAAGTCGACATCTGATTGATTAAATAGGCAGCGGTTAAAATAGCATCACTCCAATACTAAGAGGGGATATGACGTGCAAACATAACAAACCTGGCGACCTCTAACAAATGTCGGTTCTTTCTTTCGGCAACACCGTTCTGTGCTGGGGTATCAATACAACTAGTCTGATGTGTGATAAATAAATCAACTTGCCCACTAATCGTTGATAACGACCTTTATCTACAGGATTACCATCATTTTCTCGAAGACGAGTATGGACCTCGATAGGTGTATCAGAGGGACGACATCCTAATAAGCCAACTTTTGTTAAAAGATCAAGGATATACTTCCTTTGGGATAGAAAGATACCTTTTGAAGATCTGGCTACTTCAATCCCAAGAAAGTATCGGAGCCTGTGAGATTTGCCTTGGGAATGTTTACCTCTTGGAGTAATCGCATGATTTGTTTATATTGCTCACTAGTGAATGGTGGTGGAGGCGCAGAAGAGGAGCTCTCGGGATTGGTGACAGGCTTGTTGTCCGAGGGCTTGGTAGGGGGCTGGTCACGACGCCGTTCCTTATAATTAGCGGGAAATCCATGGAGGCGGAAGCAAACATCACGGGAATGGCTTGGTATATCGCAATGGGCACAACGTTCACAGGCACGTGATGGAGGGCCGCATTTTGCAAGGTGAGCAGAAGCTATCTCGGTGTGCTTATGGTACGAAGCTGAGAGTGACAAATCCGTTTGAGGTGGGATATTTCGCATTGAACCATATGTTAATAGTGTGTTCTCGGTAGAGGAACGAGTCGAGTGAACATGGCGTTGAGATTCGTCTTGAAGAGTAAGTGAGTAAGCCCGCGCAACAATGAGTAATGGATTCATGAGCAGAACTTGACTGACCACATTGGAATACTTTGGGTTTAAACCCACTAAGAATTGATAAAGACGTCGATTCTTAAGTTGCGTCACAAACAATGTCGTTGCCTCACAAGAGCAACTCGGCAAGGGTTCCAAATTGTTCAACTCATCCCAATAACGCCACAAATTATTGTAATACCTAGTGATGTCGTCTTCACCTTGTTCAAGAGTGCATATTTTCTGCTCGAGGTGAAATATGCGGGGACCATTAGATTGCGAAAAACGTTCACGAAGATCAGTCCATACTTTCGCAACAGATTCCGTGTACAACACGGTTGGGACAAAATCTTGGTGGATGGAATTCAAGATCCATGATAGTATCATGTTGTTGACATGAACCCATGGGGCATATGTGGCATCGGTTGATTAGGGTTTCGGGATATCTCCTGTGACGAAACCCATTTTGTTTTTTGCTGATAAAGCAATGATCATGGCTCGTGACCAGCTGTTATAATTATCACCTGTCAAAACCATGCTGACTAAATTCGAACCTGGACTATCGGAGGCATGGAGGAAGAACGAACTGCTGGTCTGTTTATGATCTGATGTGTGGCTGGAGAGTTCCTCAGTTCGGGAGTTTTGTTCGGTTTGGGAGTTTTGTTCGGACATCATAATCAATCCAAAAAAGACGGTGCCCAGAAAAATCAATCGAAGCAAACCGAATGAAAGACGATTGATCTGAAGGAGAAATTGACGGATGGCTGGTGGCAGCCGATAAAAAAGAGAAGGGCTCAATGATCACTTTGCTCTGATACCATGAAGAGAAAAATGGAAGGGAAAGCCTTTTTCATATATGTATTCAGTACAATTACATTGATGTATTTATAGTCTAAGAATGTAAGTAAATAGAGAAATAATCTACAGAGAATTATGAATTTCCTATTCACTGTATTAATCACGGATTTATCTAATCAATCGGTCCTTAATTAGAATCGGCACCACAATCAAGATGTTCAAATATATCTTCCAATAATAACTCTAATACATCCAGCCAAATTAACCCAAAAAAGATAAAACTGGTAATGTTTATTGGGAGGAACCCAAAACACGAAATCCCCAGGACACATTATTGCTGACGCGGCGTCGTTATTGTCCAAGCCCCAACTCCAAGCGTCCTCTCTAGTCTGCGGTCAGAGCGAGAGTACCGAGTTGCTCGGCTATCGGAGTGGGCGTCGCACCCGCGACTTCCTGTTCCTGTTCCCGTTGCTGTTCCTGTTCCGATTCCGGTTGACCCGTACAGGTATGACGCTTCCCGCACCCGCCATGCGCATGGCGCCTCCCCTTGTGACCATGACCGTGGCCATGGCGATGACCATGATGACCATGTTTGAAAAATCCATGCCCATGGACTAAAAGACCCCTGATATGATGTCCTCGCCCATGTCCATGTCCATGACCGTGGCCCGAATGGACCAAAAGACCCATCATATGATGCCCATGTCCATGTCCATGACCATGACCCCCATATCCAACAACACCCCTCAGACGATGCCCATGTCCATGAAACCCATGCCCTCCGAGACCATGCCCAAAGAGAAGTCCTCCTACGTGGGGACCATGCCCGCCATGAAGCCCATGACCGCCTCCGTTACCCATCCCATGACGAAGATGTGGACCATGATGATGCCTTCCCTCGTGAGCCATTTTCATTTTCATCTTCATCCTCTGTTTAGTATATCCCCCCGACTCTATTTCAGTCTTGACACAGGAATAGCTCTCTGGATGATGAAAGATGAGTGGAAGAGAGGCCCTTATTTATAGAGGTTTACGAGGCGGTGGTTCAACTGTAGCACTCTATCAAATATGGCGATCTTTTCACACGCCTCTTCTCTGCCAAATTTCTTAGCTTAGCTATCAAGTACTTAAGCAATCCGTGTGAACGCTGTGGAAACTTGTCCAACTACGAGCGACGGAACATGTCGTCACGTGTTGTCTTGGGGAGCAAGTTCAGGCGGAAATGTATCAAAGGAGGTCGGTTTCTCTGCATGGGGATATGGGACCAGAGATGGGGATGGGGATGTCGGCACCTTCTTATTTGCGGCTGGACGTTTAGGGCTTGGAGTGCATGTTAGATGAGCAGATAATTTTGCTCCTTTGGGCCACAAAAAGAAGGCGCGATTGAATTGGAGACTTGCTCAGTGAATCTGATTTCTTTTTGTGCTTATTTTATTAACATTCTGTAGATCTTAGAGCTACAAAGTGTCATATCCTTCTCCACGGGGATGGGAATGTCTCTATTCGATACGGTAACACATTACTATGTCATTAAAGTAAGTTTCACAATCTCATCTCCTTCAAATGCTAAAAATACTATTAATAGTACAAGTTTTACTACTAATTATCTGTCGTAGGATTGAAAGATTTGTGCGTACACATGTCATACTGTCCGGCAGGGTCTCTCATGATGAACTCTTGGATGAACTCGTTCTAGGCTACTTTGATAATTGTGAACAAGGCTCCTTATCATAATGCGTAGACTTTGCTTTTCTAAGGATTGAAATCATATCAAACTAGCTTTGTGCGATTTGAAAGTGAAGAACTACTTATCCTTTCCAATCTGGTCCTTCGAAAACGCGATTTGTGGGAATCTCAACCAACCCGACCCAGTTTCTTGATTTGGTGGCTCTCTTGCCATTTCATTAATTAAATGGTTAATACCACGAAAAACCCCAAACTGGTATACCCGTGACAAATTTACCCTCCGTTAACTTCCGTTAAATTAGATTAGTACCACATAAAATCACAGGCTGGTATACTAGTGACAAACGGAGGGTAAAAAAATCCAATCTGGTTACCTGTCAACTGTTACGAGTGATTCAACCCAACAATTTGATAATATAATTTAATGGAAACTAATGAAAGTAAATTTATCACAGGTGTGCTGATTTGGGATTAGTTTACGGTAAATTTATTACATGTGTACCAATTTAAGGTTTTTTATGATATTAATCCTTAATTAAATCTCTCCATCAAAGGCATGGCACGCCAGATATGATTGAATAAAATGACAAACATAGACAGGTGTTATGTGGCGGAGAGAAAGGGCTGCACGAGCAAAGGCATTTAAGTAAACTGGGGTGGAGCTTTGACAGTGATCAACTTGCTTTTCCTTGCGCACTGGCCTCGGCCTTATCTTTGCTTTCTTAACCAGCCAAAACCCTCTTTTTATTTTCTTCTAAGCATATAGTTAGGGCGCGAATGATAATCATTATGTTTCAAAAATCAATTTCTGACTAGAAATTGATTTTTGTATTTCTATTCCATGTACGAGTTTCTTTGCCAAAATACCAATTTGATAATGATACAAAATTTCTATTCCTGAAATAGAAATTTGTTTGATAATGACACAAAATTTCTTTTTTCTCAGCAGCTGGCGGGCGGTGGACGGCAGTGGCCGGAGGTGGCCGGTGTTGGGTGGCGACGGATGACGATGGGCGGCAAGGGAGGATGGTGGCGGGAGGACGGCGGCCGATGGTGGGAGGTGGCCGGCGGCCGGCGTCGCTCGACGGCGAAGGACTATAGATGGCGGCCGGCAACGAAGGACGGTGGCAGGAGTGGGTCGATGTCGGGTGGTGGCGGATGACGATGGGCAGCGGCGGAGGACCGTGGCAGGGGATGGCCGACGGAGGACGGTGGCAAGAGGCAGCCGCTGGACGGCGGCCGACGATAGGAGGTGGTCGGCGTTGCCCAACGGCGGAGGACTACAGACAGCGGCCGACGGCGAAGGACGGTAGTGGGAGTTGGCCAGCGGGTACCGACCAACGGCGGGAGGTGGTTGGCGATGGCTGACGGCGGCAGGTGTTGGGCGGCAGCGAAGGACGGGAGGAGGCGACCAGTAAAGAACGGCAAAAGGTGGCCTGGGGGCGATGGTTAACGGCGGTGGACAGCAGCGGCCAATGGTGGGAGGCGAACGGCGTCGGGCGGTGGCGGAGGACGACATATGGCAGGCGACGATGGATGGCCGCCAGCGAGTGGTGGCAAATGGCGTTGGGAGGCGGCCGACGGCGAAGGACGGCGTCGAACGGCAATCAACGACGGTGGTGGGAGGCGGCCGGCGGCGACGAGAGGTGACCAGCGACGACGGCGGGTGACGGTGGGTGACCAGCCGGCTAGTAGTGAGGGCAAGCGATAAGAAGAGTTTTTATTTCAAAAATAGAAAAGTAGATTTTTTTAGGGAAAAAACCACCAAAAACCCCAAACTTTACCACTTGTGACACATTTACCCCGAACTTTTTTTTGTGACACCAAAAACCCCAAACTATCCTATTTGTGACACATTTACCCCATTGTACTTTAGTCCATGGGCATTTTCGTCTTTTTTGCTTTTTCTTTTTTTTTTCTTTTTTTTTTCCTTTCCGGCGAGGGTCGCCCTCTCCTGGGCGACCCTCGCCCGACGCCGGCAAGGCCGCCCTCGCCGAAAAGGAAAAAAAAAAAGAAAAAAAACAAAGAAAAAGCAAAAAAGACAAAAATGCCCATAGACTAAAGTACAATGGGGTAAATGCGTCACAAATAGGATAGTTTGGGGTTTTTGGTGTCACAAAAAAAGTTCGGGGTAAATGTGTCACAAGTGATAAAGTGTGGGGTTTTTTGGTGGTCTTTTCCCTTTTTTTTACTTTTGATTTCTATTCCAAATCTATTTACGGAATAGAGATTTGTTCCAGAAATAGAAAAATGAAATTGCGTTATCAAACGGATTTCTGTTCCAACTCTGCTCCCAGAAATAGAAAAATAGAAAAATAGAATGGTTATCATTCGCGCCCTTAGTCGTAACTCTATACCGCTTCATAAGAAGAATACTTTTACACAAGTTGTTTTGTTTTTTTTTTTAAACGAGCTGCTTTAAACGACTTCTTGTTAGACGAACTGCCTTTATATGACTTTGGGCTTCCATGTGGTGCAATAATTCATCACTCGTAGCGGAGTCAATTTGCAAATGCTCTGTAGTTCTCCACTTCTTGAAATGGTTTTGATGATCCAATCAGGGGAAATAACCAAAGAAAGTTCGAATTTGGGTGGTGAGTTTGTAGGCGGAAAATTTCTTACTTTGCTTGAATGGCTATCTGATCCGATCAAATCAAAATCTGCCATTCATTGGCAAGGCCTTCTTTTTTGTGGAGACACCACCGGTGAATGATGAACTTTGCTGGTCCTCGCCTCCAAACCGATCAGGAGAGGACTCAGGGTCAAGCCACACTTTATTGTGTGACTACAACAAACGTATTTGCTGATACTTCATCTGCGAATCTTGTTCCCTTTTCTTACAAACTGATCAAATTGGTATATATGCAAAAGATTCCATAATAATGAGTTTCTGGTCTTAATCAGTAGAAGATGTTTGATTTCTTGATCGCCAATTTGGGTTGCTGTAGTTACTTGAATGACAAAGATGAAAAGCATATGCCATTGTCGGCAATGGTTGCTGTGAAAGCCCTCATCTCTCAATTCAATCTGGACAATTTGCTCATGCATGTCAATGGTGCTCTCGGTGAGCTCATAAACGTATCATTTCTAATTCAGAACCTTCAAATCTTCTGTATAAAACTTACTTATGGAATCAGTTGATCCGACGCCTCGAACGACCGATATCATTACACTAATTTGTAGTGTACCATTGCATAATATTGGTACACAAACAGTACGAAGAAACTTCCATTAACCTCCACAACATTTCAACCGCTGAATCTGATCATCCAGCCAAATTAACCCAAAAAGATAAAACTGGTACTGTTTATTGGGAGGAACCAAAAGCACGAAATCCCCAGGACACATTATTGCTGTCACGGCGTCGTTATTGTCCAAGCCCCAACTCCAAGCGTCCTCTCTAGTCCGCAGTCAGAGCGAGAGTACCGAGTTGCTCGGTTATCGGAGTGGGCGTCGCAGCCGCGACTTCCTGTTCCCCATCTTGTTCCTGTTGCTGTTCCTGTTCCGGCACCAGTTGACCCGCACAGGTATGACGCTTCCCGCAACGGCCATGCGCATGGCGCCTCCCCTTGTGACCATGACAGTGGCCATGGCGATGACCATGATGACCATGAGGACCATGTTTGAAAAATCCATGCCCATGGACTAAAAGACCCCTCATATGATGACCGTGTCCATGTCCGTGACCGTGACCGTGACCCGAATGGACTAAAAGACCCATCAGATGACGCCCATGTCCATGTCCATGACCATGACCATGACCCCCATGTCCAACAACACCCCTCAGATGACGCCCATGTCCATGAAACCCATGCCCTCCGAGACCATGCCCGAAGAGAAGTCCTCCTACGTGGGGACCATGCCCGCCATGAAGCCCATGTCCACCTCCCTCACCCATCCCATGACGAAGATGTGGACCATGATGATGCCTTCCCTCGTGAGCCATTCTCATCTTCATCCTCTGTTTAGTATATTCCCCCAACTCTGTTTCAGTCTTGACAGAGGAATAGCTGTCTGGATGATGAGAGATGAAAGATGAGAGGCAGAGAGGCCCTTACTTATAGAATGGTTCACGAGGCGGTGGTTCAACTGCAGCAGTCCATCAAATTTGGCGATCATTCACACGCCTCTTGTTTGCCAAATTTCTAAGCTTAGCTATTAAGTATTCAAGCAATCCGTGTGAACGCTGTGGAAACGTGTCAAACTACGAATGACAGAACATGTTGTCACTTGTTGCCTTGGGGAGCAAGTTCAGGCGTGAATGTAGCCATGGAGGTCGCTGTCTGCGTAGGGATATGGGACCCGAGATGGGGACGGGGGATGTCGACACGTTCTGATTTGCGGCTCCAACGTGTCTCGCTTGGGGTGCACGTTCGATGAGGAGATAATGTTGCTCCTTTCGGCCACAAAAAAACCAACGCATTTGTTTCTTGATTAACATTTTAAATAGAAACTATACTTTTACAGTGTAATGTTTTTTGCCCGATGACATTATTATTGATTTAATTAAGCGTGTTTTAATCATTTAAAAAACTAATGACTATTTTAATCTGAAGAGGATTGGCGCCATATTTTCCTCCTATAAGAAGAAATCAAAGATAGACACATTTTTTCCATGAAAAACAAAAAATATTTTTTTTCTCCAAAATAATGGATCATGTTAATTTTTGTTTCAGAAATAATTAATCATACTATTGAGTGAATGTCACTGTTCGCTACATTTGCACCTTACGACTTCATTGGACTAAGGTTGAGTTAGGTTTGGCTTGTTGGGAAAACTTTTGGTTTAATGCAAAGAACTTTATGGCTCCATCTGTTTCGTAAAAAATGTAATATTTCTGAAAAATATTTTTCAGGAAAATGATAATATTTTTTCAGTGTTTAATTGAAACCTAAAATTGAACTGGAAAAGATTTTCTGTTGTTTGTTGTGGAAAATTTGATTTGATTTTCATAAATAAACATACATTGTTCGGGCATTGGTAACTTGCGAATGGGCAGCCATGGACTAGAAACGGGCACTAGAGTCTTGGGTCCAACTCCGATGGACCCCGACTCGGGCGCCAACAATCAAGGCACAGGCACCTTGGCCCCGAGTGCGGCCTTAATAAATTTGAGCATGGGCACCAAGGTCCTGGGCATTACCTCACTGGACTTGAGCTCTGGCACTGGGGTCCCAGGGTGGGGCCTTGATGAACCTGGACACAACCTTTGTGGACCCGGGCACAACCTTTGTGGACCTAGGCCTAAATGTTAGGGATGTGAGCTTTGGTATCGGGATCCCGCGCTCCACCTTTGTGGATTCGGCCCAATTGATAGGGCATTGGGCACGGGCACCAGGACTTCAAGTCCGGCCTCAATGGACCTAGGCATCAGAGTCTCGGGCTCGACCTCAATGGACCCAAGCACGGGCTCCGGTGATTCGAGCATGGGCATCAAGGTCTTGAGCCTGGCCTTGATAGACTTGGGCTCACTGGAGACTTGGTCCTGGACACTGGGAACCAACATTAGGTTTTTGTATCCAAGCGTAGAGGTTTGTGTTCAAGACCCGATAACCTACGTAGAATCGACACCAACATGCGACACGACACGACACAATACGCCAACACGTCATTTCTAAAAAATTGAGAATTTCGATACATTAGGACACATTGTATATTAAATGTATATTTTTATATATAAATGATAAATTATCATTTTTATGATTATTTCAATTAAATAAATTTGATTCAAATCCACAAATAAATAAATAATAAAAAAGGAGAGTATCGGACAAATGTCAGTGTCTAACACGTCTGACGCCAACATGGAGGCCCCCGGAGAGTGTCCATGCTTCCTTCCCAATACCTAGTTATATTTGGAAAATAATTTAAAATCAGAATTCATTTTCCTGAATTTAAGCATAATTATCCGTTGACTCATTTTTCTAAGCGAATCAAACGACGAAAAATGAGGATAATTTTTTCTCAGATAATGTTTTCTTTGAAAAAAACGGGGCCTACGTGAAAGGAAATGCTTGAAATGCAAATAGTATTTGGTAAAGTGTTATTTAAAACTAATTTGGGAAGCAACTTTGATTTAAATAGTATTTGAAAAAATCACACCTATAAAGGACTTTTGTTATTTTTTTTAAATTCTAAACTTGATCCCTTCGCTAGATGCCGACAAAGGGCTCATGCCACTAGCAAGCCAGATTGGTACAGACAGTCATTGCCTGAGGTGACACGACCTGAGGTGATCCCGGTGAGAGTTGCTTGTGGTCTACGACCTTGTTGAGGGGTTGCAGGCAACGTTGGGCGGGGGAAAATGGCGAGGGTATTTTCTAATTTTCGAAAATTTTTGCAAAGGGAAAATTGGAAGGAAAAAAAAAAATGCATTAGCATTCCAGAAATGCTAAAGCCCAAGGCATGTAGCTCCTATGGACATGCCTTGGCTATATGAGACTTTTAGAGGATTTTGGAAATGTAATTACATCTCCCTAAAATTCTCCAAAAAATTGTCAAACGGCACTTGCTTTGCTCAATGACCTTTAGAGCCCCTAAGGCTTTTGCCAAAGTGGTTGCCACATGTAGCCTATGTTTGCACGATCTCATCTCCTTCTAATGCTAAAACTACAATCACCAGTACAAGGTTGTAATCTTGGTTGTATTTCATAGGATGGTAAGATTTGGGTATAAACTTCGGTTGTGAAAATAAATGGTTTGTCAGTGAATTTCAGTGGTTTGCCTTTTGTTCTAGTCTTTTGAGGGAGCTTGGTACTAAACTTTAACTATGTCAATGAATCTTACCCACACAGATTACTTGACGATGGCTTGGTATCTGACTGTAAATCGACTTTTATGAAATCCGAAAAGCCACAACAATCACCTCATTGATGACCATAATCTGTTTATATACACGCAAGGTGATTAGAGTGCTAATTGAGATTGTGCCAACTACGCTGCGTAGTTGGCACAATCTCACTTAGCCTAAGTTTTAATTAGGCAAGTTTTGACAATGGCTTCTACCCGTCTTCACATCTCCAATATCTTGTCTCCCATCTGCACTCCAATAGATTAAGCTTTTGAAGTATATGGTTGCACATTCAATTTCAAATTACTATTTGAGCCGGAAATCTTGAGCTTAATTCCTGACATCCCCATTTCACCCATCTGTGGGTTCCCCTTTCATTGTAAGCAACGAGTTTCGAAAATTCTTTTTGCTCGAATCCATTGTATCGGCACCTCTGATAGCACAGGGCTAAGACTCAAAATGTTTGCTTTTAACAAACTCAAGCGCATTATGTGCTTTGCCTCTATGTGCAATGAGTTTTTGAGATTAAGATGTAAAGGATCAAAGCTGAAAAGGAAATGGACGGAGTGAGGAAGGAGGATGGGAGCATGTAAAAAAAGGCATGGAGGAGCAATTTAGTCAAGTTTCATCATAAAATCGAGTGAGGCTGTGTTCCACATGATACTCTTTTTTTAATTATTTTTAATCTCATGTATCAACTTTCATTATTATTGTCACCGCTATAGCTCCAAAACTACAAAGTTAGAGAAGAATTTTGGGTAAATACGAATTCTTAAAAAAATTAAAAGACAAAAGCCCATATGATGCGTGGGCACATACACTAGTTGATCATTATTTTCGAAATATAAAGTATATTCCGCGCGGCACTCTAATAGATTAAGCTTTTTGAGTGAACGGCTGCGCATTCAATTTTAAATTGGTATTAGAGTCAGAAATCTCGAGTTTGATTCCTCACATTTACTGTTTACCCATTTATGGGTTCCCCTTCCATAATGAGCGATGAGTTTAAAAATTCTTCTGCTGAATACATCGAATTAGCATGTTTAGGGCCTTCATCATTGAATCGGTATTCACATGAGCGAGAGTGTTAAGAGATAAATTATATACAGTATTGCCGTTTTAATAGCTTAAACTTTTGGAGTAAACAGTTACGCAATCAATTTCTAACTCAAATCATGGTATCCAATCACATGTAAAAGATTCAAATCTCGACTCTTCCTCTCAATCTCTTTGCTCATATGGTCGGGTTTCTCCTTGCCCGTACACAAAGGAGCCCTATCAATCATCTCCTAGAGTCGAGTCCTACGGAGAAATAAAGAGGCACAATTTTTTCCAATTTTTTTGGACAAGAGAATCAAAGAACGAAGGATACACAAATCCATTACTAGCAACACTAATATTCTCAAGCAAATAAAAAAAACCAACGAAAACAATAACCAAAAACCAGAGACTCGATCCGAGTCGACCGGCTACAAACCGGCGCGATATCGACAAGTTAAAAGACTAATCGGCCAAGTCGGCGACGTCAACAATGGTGGTGATGTCCTCCTCCAAGCCCATGCGGATGTACTCCTCCCAGGCCGTGCTGATGATGTCCCCATCCATGAACGGGAACAGCATGACCTCCGTTCATGTGTCCAAAAAGACCATGCCCGTCAGGATGGGGATGATGGTGATGAGGATGCAAATTCCCTAGAAGCCCATGTATGGCGTGCCCAAGCCCATGCCCATGCCCCTGCATGACCCCATGATGGCCATGTCCCAGGAGCCCATGCCCATGATGTCCTCCTCCCAGACCATACCTGCCGTAATATCCTCCCCCATGATGGCCATGGCCGTGACCGATATGTCCGCCATGGCCATGGTGTCCCTCACCATGGTGCATGTAGTGATACTGCTGCTGATGATGATATCCTTGGTATGACATTTTTCTGCTCTGGGTTTAGACGCTGGCTTTCAATCTCAAGTTGCTGAAATTTCAAGTATTTTATTGGAAGACTGATTAGATGATGCGAAATGAAGAAGGGATTGGAGCTATTTATAAGGATGAAAAGGCAAGAGGGCTGACGTCGACGAAGCTAGGCCACGGTTTCGCTCGGCCGCCAGATCCTACACACGGATTTCACAGGCAAGACACGTTTCTTCATCTGTGTGCTTAGTTTTTTCTCTGCGTAGCCATTAAGCATACGCGTGAATCTGGTGCAATCGTTTTAAAAAATTACAAGATTCGAAGTGCGGTGTTTGTTTAAGGAACGACGGCTCCACCTGCTCCGGTGGGCAAAGGATAAGATAATTTATATTTGGTCTTGAGATGATGAGATGGTAGTTTCCTTCTGCTAAATTTTCAGCAG